CATTTATTTTTAAGCTCATTGCACAACATAATTAGCTTTAACTTATGAAATACTTGTTCAATAGTGATAAAAATTTCTACCTAACTACTTTTTAGGGCGAGGAACTCAAAAATCATGGCTAAAACGTTAAAAGATTTAAGCTTCTATATAAATATTCATTTTTAAAATGGTGTAACACTTTTTGTAAGATTTTTTGATGCCCCGCACAAAAAAAAGTTTATCTCGAGATGCCTAAATGATGGTTCTGAAATTTTTTCCTAATGTTCTATATTTAATTAACTCCATAATAAAAAAAATCTGGAAGGGTTTTCTTTTTTAAATCAAGAATTCTTTAATAATCTTATCAGTTTGAAAATTAAAAACAAATGAATACTCTAATTGTTCAGAAACAACTTTAGTTCCAATTTTTGTGTTACTTATTGATACAAAATTCTGTTAGCTGTGTGTGCCTGGTAACGTTTTTGCAGTAGCATATCTTTTCTCCATTTCACTTCGAATTATCGTGTTTGACTCCTTGAATATATAATAAAAATTAATTCCTATGATTTCATTTTGGCAAAAATTAAACATTGCAGATGCCGTAAGAATATGATTTGTTGTTGTTCAATGAAGGCTAGCAATTGAAGTTAGTCTTTTTACAGTCCCACCAATACCATCACAGGGTGATTTACCGTGACTTGTTGCAAAGAAAGACCAGGTACATTTCATAGCAAAATCGCATTTTTTTTTCTCTCCCTATTTTAACAAATAAAAAAGTTAAAACCTTTTTTTTAACTAAACTCACTTATTAGAGCATGAAAGTATTAAAAAATTCCTATTTAAATAGATATTTTTTTAAACAGTTTTTTTTTTGATGCAATTTTTTTGAAAAAATAAATGTTGATATTATTTAAAAATATTATATACAACACTTTTTATATAATTTTATATAACATATACAACACTTTTTAATTAATTTGATAAAATTTGATCATTTAATAAACAATCATTAGAAGTAATTTATTACTTAAGTTAAAAGCGATTTAAAAGCGTTTTGCATAACTTTAATAAAAGGTTTAAAAAAATAAGTTTTAATAACATTTATTTCAAACATAATTAAATACGTAACAAAATGTTTCGAGTTTAATTTTTTATATTTACTTTTGTGCTTATATAATTTCTTTTTTGTAATAATTTTTTTTTTCCTTTCTTTTTTTGTTAGGGATTTTTTTTTGGTAGTTTATTTTTTATACCTTTTTTTCCAAGATTAAGTTTAGCTTCAAGTTTCTACATTCAGCAAATTTTTGGAATGTTTTTTATATAAAAAATAGTGGTCAAGTTGTCTAAAAATAAAATAATTTGCGTGGTCAACAATAGCGCTCTATCGAATGCCATTCCTGTCCAAGCCTGTAAACCATAACTACATCATGCAGTAGATCATCTGAGGTGAAACATATTGAATCACATTTGAGGCCATTATTTTTCTTTATAATAAATTACTGTTGGATGCAATGTTGCTTGAATTTTGTTCCAGTGAAAACTTTGTATTTCGTCTTGTACAACAAACTCGTAATTTTCTGAAAAATCACAAAGGACAATGACCTCAGTACTACTTAACTCATTTTTTAACTATCTTAAAGAAGTAGCTTGACTTTTTGCAATGTAAGAACAAACAGTAAGTTTTTGCAACTTATTTTTCAAAGTATTAATAAAATTACTTGTTGTTTCTGTTAGACTTAATAGCTCAGATTGGTCTGTTGTTTTCCATTGTTTGTAAACTATACAAAAATCATCATCGTCATCAATATTGTCTTGAGAGTACAACTCATTTTCAAGATAATGTACCAATGTAGAATCTTCTGGGCACAAAGTATGACGATGTATCATGCAAGTCTTGTTCGCCCTACTACAAACAAGCATATCAATAAGCTCGTGATAATCCTTTGATAATTCAACTGCACTAATCATTAAATTAACATCTTGATGGTAGGCACACACATACTGTATGCATACCAGATGTTCCAACTGTAATGCACCATTTTGGATGATGTGAGCAAAAGTTAGAAAAACAGCTCTTTATATCTGGATAATAGGTTTTAAACTTTGAATATAGCTCTTTTAGATTTAAAAGAATCAAGCGTTTTTGCATGTGAGATCTTCGAGCTATAGTAACAAAATCTTTTTTACCAGACATTAGCCTGCTAATTTTTCATCATTACAATAAAATTCAATAATTTTATCTACTGTTTCTTGAGGTATTTCCTTCCCTTTTTTTTTCAGGAAAAGATAAAATACTATTTTTCTGCAGCAATTTGCATGATATATGCACCATATAATTAGTAACATTAAATTCTTTTTCTATATCTTTGTGAGACCAAGAATTTGGAACCAGTGTTAGCAGTTGAATTTTCTGATTGCGATTGCAAATTAACATTTCTTCTTTGATTTTTCTAATAAGTATATCCATGTCATTTGCTTTACCTTTAACTTCCTTAGATACTTTATTGAAGGAATCTTCTTGGCTTAACTGTTTAGGGTCTATATTTAAAGTCCTTGTAATACCTAACTTTACTATTTTTTGAACATGTAACAATTTTTTTTTTGCCGAGAGCAACTCTTGAGTGACTATTTACAGCATGCATTTTGAGAGGACTTATGTTCATAGTTGTCAAAGAAGAATTAAGATTTTTTTTTAACAATTCATTTATATTAAGTTCATTATCTTCATCTTTGTAAATTTGACTACAAGCCAGTTCTCTTTGTCCATCATCCTTAAATGACATCAATTTAATCATACATGAGGGACATATCTTTTCTCCAGGAATAACATTAATACCAATATTTTTTAATTTCCCAGCAAGTTGCATATTAATTTCTTTACATCCTCCTAAAAACACAAGTGATAATTACTGCTTCAGTGAGTATTTTGCAAAAGTATATATAGTTTATAAATAATTACAATAAAGTTTTAAAAAAGTTTCATGGTTAAGTAATAATACCTTTTCTTCTTTTTCCATTGTGTGAATTAAATGGATCACAGCAAGTTATGTGGATTGTGGAGTAACGTTTTAAATAAGTATATTCATGGTGTAGGCAAACTGTTGCATTTTCATCAAATTGAATGCCAGAGCGACTAATTATCAAGTCTTTTTCCACATCATTAAGACTTGAAACTTTCTTAATATTATGGGATTTTACATATGTTTGTTTGTTACAAATTTCTTTATTTATTATTCCAATCGAACATTCATATTGTTATATTATTTTTTACTTCTGTAAGAAACAATTTTAAAATAATTGTTGTTTGAAGATTTGAAAATAGAAACTCCTTAAGCTATTAAACATAATGATTGCATAAAATAAAGATCTTTAATGTGAAATGCAAACAAGTTTATATATTATAACTGTACCTTAGACAGCAAGATTCTAAAAATCTTTTTAAAAAATGCAAAAAATTTATGCAAATAATTTTTTTTCATTATTAAATAACAGTTTTTCTTAATTTTTTAAATAAAACTTTAAATGCAAATAAACCTAATTTAAAATAGAAAACCCCTGCAGTTTTTTTGTATTATAGAGTTTGTCACATATAGAACATTAGGAAAAAATTTCAGAATTTTATTTTTTAGGCATCTTGAGATAAACATTTTTTTGTACAGGGCATCAAAAAATTTACACCATTTTGAAATTGAATTTTCATAAAGAAGCTTGAATTTTCGTGTGTTTTAGCCATCATTTTTAAGTACCTCTCCCTAAAAAATAGTTAGATAGAAATTTTGACCACTATTAAACAAGTATTTCATAAGTTAAAGTTAATTGTGTGGTGCAATGAGCTTAAAAAATTAATGGTGCTGAAAAAAAAAAGTCAAAAAAGAGATTGGGACCAAGTATCAATATTTCTGAAACCATAAGGATTCAGACACTAAAATATGGAGTGAAATTTTCTTTTATTAATTCAAGCTTGTATTCCAAAAATCAGCAAAATCTGAGATGGCATGGTACCGAGCATAAATTGAATTAAGCTGGAATGACCCGTGAGTTTCTTTGGCAGCAGGAACATTCTCAAATCATTAAGCAAGCAATTCATGTATGTTATTTTGGTTTCTGATATATAAAAAATTTAAAAATAAGTTTAAACATAAATTGTATAAACCTACTTTCAGAATTGGTATAATTTTTGAAAAATAATTAAAGATTGCCTCAGTATTGTGAAGCAGATTGTTAGGTATAGCACTTGCGTTCTAGAGATAAAAACAAATAATATGATGAAAAAACTGCAATAACAAAGCTTAAAATATCAAACACTAGATGTAAAAGACCAGATCAAGGAGAGGGCAACCAACTAGGTTTTTCTTTTTTTTTATAAAATGTCTAATAATTCATTGCACCACTCATATGGGTCAGTAGACAAATTGGAGGGACAGTGGTTTCCGATAATGCATTTAACCTTTGATAGTTGAAAAAAGGGTTATTTAAAAATGCTGCCATTTTTAATGTGAACAAAACAAGTTTAAAATATTTGCATTTTTAGATTTATTATCTAATGCTGTTATGTTATGTCTAAAAAAGTATGTATGTATGTATGTATGTATGTATGTATGTATGTATGTATGTATGTATGTATGTATGTATGTATGTATGTATGTATGTATGTATGTATGTATGTATGTATGTATGTATGTATGTATTTATATATGTACAAAAGTATATACATATAAAGTTATTCAAGTTTTTAATAGCCCATTCATTCAAAATTTAATTAAAAATGTACTTTAAATTGCCTTTCTCCTGCTTTGATATTTTTAGCACTAATATTTGTCAAGAAATATTTTGCTAATCTGAAATTTAGTTGGATTTTTTCGGGTGTCTAGACTGGTCAAAATAGGCCTGGATACATCTCTGTTTATGCGCTTTCATTGAAATATATATAATTTTTTTTTAATTATTATAATAGATACTTTTGTTTACTAGAAGCACAAAAACAGAAAATAATAAGTGAATACTTTTTTAAAATATTCTAGTTCAATTAGCTAATAAAGAAAGAGATGATTTAAAAGCTGCAAGAAAACGAACTCAAGCTCGGTTTGAAGCTCTGGTTAAAGCTGGTTCTGGAGTTGACGGAAATGATGGTAGCTCTGATGTGTTAGTACTCATTTTTACAGGTTTAATGTTGCTGTTTGGTTACAAAATTTTAATTAATAACTTTTGTTTTAAGTTACATTCGTAAACCTCAAAGAAAAAAAGAAAGAAGTAAAACAGCTGATATAAATTTCAGTAAAGTAAAAAAAAGCACTGAACTTTTAAGATTAAAAAGTCAATCACAGGAGCATCTTATCAAAGGTGAGTTGTTGTTAAATTAGGTTTTGTATATGTACATATATATATATATATATATATATATATATATATATATATATATATATATATATATATATATATATATATATATATATATATATATATATATAACCCTCGGAATTAGGAAAAAAGAGGTTGGCAATAATTAGCCGATCTCAATCTTTTAGAGGTTGGCAAAAATTATTTGATACAAAGGTCTGACCATAAAACGTAGAAACCATAAAACAACATCAAACACTTTCAAGTCAGAAGTTAGGTCAGCATTGCTGAATGCCTACCCTGATTCCAAGGGTTATATACATAAGTATATATATATATATATATATATATATATATATATATATATATATATATATATATATATATATATATATATATATATATATATATATATATATAAAGCAGCTTTTATGCAATGAAATGTGAAAAATAATGTTTACATGAAATTAATATTAGATAATAAATATTTATAAAGGTTAGAATTGTATAAGAGTAAATTTGAAATTGCTAATCATATTGTTTTAAATATAATAGACAACATTTACTAACTTCTGTGTGTGATTTTTTTGAAATGCCTGTGAAGATTTTACTTAAATTTTTTAAATAATCATATTTCATCTCAAGGAGAATAGCTTTTATCTTTTAATTAATAATTCCATTTCAAGGAGAATAGCTTTCATCTTTTAAATAATAATTCCATCTCAAGCAGAATAGCTACTATAGTCAAATTTGATCCCAGGCTTCAGGTTTTTGAAAATCATTTAAAGCTTTTATTTTATAGATTTGAGAGAGGGTTGCTATAGCGATAATTAAAAATGTTAAATGCATTTTTAACTATAGTGGCCCCATTATATCCAGGGTTCCCACTCCTCCTTAAAAACCTTAAGTATCCTTAAAAATACAAAACTTCCTTAAATGTCCTTAAATAACCTTAAAAAAAGTTAAAATTTGACTGCTTTCCTTAATTTCTACCTATTTTTTTTTTAATCATTTAGGAAATTTTATTTTAAGTGAATGTATTACACAGGTCAACAACAAAAAAATTTTTTTCTGGTGCAGAGCAAACAATTTGTTTTTTGTATAGCATTTCTCATTTTGATTTCAAATATGCAACTCATTTTTCACCATCACCTCAAGTTGTAAAGATATTTAGGTCCAAATCTTTATTATTTGAACCCAAAGGGTAAAATCCCTAACATAGTCAAAAAAAATAAATAATAATAATTCAAAAGTATGTCAACCTGGTTCTCAAAAGATGCGTATTTTCATAGAGATTTAAGAAAACATAAATTGTTGAACTGTGTTATACTTATTAATAATAATAAAAAAAATAGTTCTTTGATAGTTTGCAAATCTAAATATATATATATATATATATATATATATATATATATATATATATATATATATATATATATATATATATATACATTTCTTTTATTATTTTTATATTATTTCTTCATTAAAGTCAAATTATGTTTTTTCAAAAATGTTTCACACTCTTCTTTGTTCAGCATTATACAACTTTAGGATACAGTGCAGAGTGGCTGTGCTGAAACATAACATGGTTTTTATCTTGATTCTAACAAAAAATTAGAAGAGGTTTTTTAAAGGAGGTTAACCTTCTTGAAACACAGCAGTAGCATAATCATGAGGATAATTCATTGATCTTTCGATTTTTTTGATTGCTTTTTATACCTTTATCATTTAACTTATTTGTGTTACTTTTTTTCTTTATTGTAAGCACACATTTTTGTTATTATTTTCTATTGTTTAATTGTTATCAGTTTTTTATTCAATTTTTATCTTTATATCATTTTTTTTAAATAAAAATTAAAAAAATAAATAATGAATAACAAAAAGTTGTGTTGTTGTTGCTTTAATTGATATAATTGATGGATGTAGCAAAAAATTCAACATTTGAACAATAGAAATTAATATTCTAAATTGATTCTACAATAAATAAACTTTGTTTATTTATTGTAGAATCAATTCAATTTAAACTTCTTATTATTGTTGAAATTAATCATGATGATTTGTTCTTAGCAATTCAAAAAGATTCTTCAGAGCCTGAAGTCCACTATGAAAAGCTTGCAGGAGATAAAAGACATAAAAAAGAAAAAAGAAAAAAACCAAGGTCAATACTTATAAGTTTTTCACATTTTAAAATGCGTGATTAGCCTGTGATCCACTCACATACTACATAATGAGATGTAATGAAAATTGATTGGTTAACAAAGATTAGTTAATTAATGAAGATTATTTAAAACTTTATTTTTATTAAAATTTTTTAGAAACTAATTACATATATATATATATATATATATATATATATATATATATATATATATATATATATATATGCATGTATATATATATATATATATATATATATATATATATATATATATATATATATATATATATATATATATATATATATATATATATATATATATATATATATATATATATATATATACATACATACATACATATATAATATTTCTCAAGATATTCAGTTTCTAAATTATTATTTTTTAACCTTAAGAGAAAAATAGAATGATATTTTTTTATTCAGTGTTGGTGTGTGTCAGGGTTTAGAAATCAGATTTTTGCAGTTCATTGTCTCTGAAGCTCTCTCTAAAAAAATTACTGTTAGTTTATCAAGTAAATACCATGTGCAGTTGTTTTTATATAGCAATACAGAATGTTAGCCAGGAATATATTTTTACCACATTTTTGCGTTTTTGGGAATATTTATTGTTATTGATCTACAAAATATTGGCAATTTATTGATATTGTCTTCAATTACTTAAAAAAAAAAAAAAAGAAAAAAAAGGTGATTGAATTGGAAATTTTAAACCCATTAGAAATTCCGTGGTATACGTGATGCCGTTGGGCTGGCTAACACCCTGCTATAAAAGCGGTTCTTGTCAAATCATCATTCTTACTGAGGTGCTTATATAATACTAATTGGCTTTTTTTTGTTTCTTATAACTGTTGTAATTAATTAAAATTTTTTTTTATTAAAATGCATTAAGTAAACTTTTCATGTTGTAAACTTTTTTATCTGATATATACAGTAAATTGTTGCATATGCTGTTATAGTGAATTGAATAAAATTACAAAAATTGCCAAAAACAAACCGATAAGTTTGGAAACAAATATATATTTGAAAAGTGTAAGTAAAAAGTGAAAAAAAGGAGGTATTAATAAAAGGAAATAACATTTTTTATGCCATTTTGATTCTCATTGCTTTTAGAGAGGTCATGTTTTTAACTTTGTAAACTTGTATAGTTTAATGTTACTTTATCACTTATAGTTTTGTTTAATTTTATATTACATTTTATTGTAATAGAAAAACTGAAGAGGATGAGAGCAATAATGGTAAAGATAAAAATAGAAAAATATCAAATGAAAAGTCAAATGCAGACGATTCTGTTTCTAACAAAACTAATGAATCCAATGCTGAAAAAAAGGTTAATTTCATTAAATCTTAAATTTAACAAAACTTAGTTTAACTTATTTTCAAAATTTATGACCTTTTTAATTTTGGAAACATTGTGAAAATTGTTTAGTTTTACTGTATTTTTATTTTTATTTAAAATTTTATAAACATCTAGAGACTTTAGGAAAATTTTCTACAGTGTCATTAACCAAAGTAGATCTAACATTCTACAGTGTCATTAGCCAAAGTAGATCCAAAATTCTACAGTGTCATTAACCAAAGTAGATCTAACATTTTATTTCTCATCGTTTGGACTGATCTTATTTCCTCTCTCAATGATAAGGCAGAACTATTTGCAAAGAACTTTTCTTCTAATTTGATTCTTGAATCTTATGGCCATACTTTTCTTTCCATTCCAATTAAATAGGTTAACACACTGTTACGCATTTAAATCACTCTAGCTTCCATTACTTAAGTCATATATCAATTAAACTCTTCTAGGGCTTGTGGTCCAGACAACATTTCTAGCAGTCTTATAAAAGTGTTCTCCAGAACTCTCTTCAATTCCTATACAATTTAATAAGTGCTTGACTGAATCTTGTTTTCCTGCCTGCTTGAAAATGGCATTTGTGGTTCCAATTTTAAAAAACTCTAGTAAACATTCTGACCTTTTCAATTATTGTCCAATCAATCTTCTTTCTGTTATTATCAAAGTCTATGAGCCTTTGATAAACAATTTTTTAACATCCCATCTTGAGTCAAATACCTTACTGTCAAACAATACGGTTTTTGATTCTCTCTCTCTGCGCTGACTTGCTAACTGCTGTTACCAAATAATTTTATTGTGCATTTGATGGAGGCGGCAAGGCTAGGGCTATTGCTTTTGACATATTTCAAGCTTTTGACAATGTTTGGCATGCTGGTCTTCTCCATAAGCTTACTTTTTTGGTATATCTGGAAAAGTTTTTGAGATTATTAAATCATTTCTTTCTTACTGCCTTTTTAAAGTCATCCTCAAAGGCCAACACTTTTTTTTATTTCCAATAGCTTCTGGCGTACCTCAAGATCTATCCTTGGTCTTGTATTGTCAAGTCTTCTCCTTTCAATCACTTAGAACAGGCAGCATAATATTGAATCTGACTCCACTTTAGAAACAGCTTAAGGCTTGTAGTAGCTTGTTAATTTTAACTCCAACAAAACCCCCCAGCAAAAACTCACCATCACCACTAATAACTATCACAATAGTATCAACATTCCTATATTGATGAATGGCAACCCTATTACTGATTCCTCTTATGTCTTCTTGGATTTTTGTTTACTACTGACCTCTCATGGTAACCATATATACAATCAATTGCTAAGTTAGCATCTGCTAAGGTTACTTCTCTTTATCATGCTTGCCATTTTCTTACTCTCGATTTCATTCTCTACCTTTACAAAATCTTTTAGTTGCCCCTGTATGGAATATTGTTGTCATATCTTGGCTGATACCTGATGATGCTCTCTCTCTTGTAGACAAGGTCCAAAAATGCATTGTAAATGTAGTAGAACCTGCTCTATCTGACAAGCTTGAGCCTCACTTTGTTGTAAAGTTGCATCTCTTTCTCTTTTTTACACATACTATCTTGGTTGCTGCTCAAAGGAGCTTGACTCATCATTCAGCACTTTCTCATTCTTTTACTGTATATGTCCCTGGATGAACCACGAAAACATTGACATGATTTCCTGACTCATATAACCTTTAACTTTTCTAGTCTTATGTCAACTGTATTCTTGCCTTTTAACTCTATTTTTTGTTTTCTTGTAACTTCCAACTTAATAGTGTATGCTTGCAGTGTTGTTGGGAGTAAATCAGAAAATAATAATAATAATAAAAAACCATACATAGATACATATATACCAGACTAATTTAATGAGGCTCTCATGTATCTTTATATGATATCCTTGATTTATGAGATTGCTTAAATGTAATGGTGGGGTTAAATGATGGTGTTGGTGGTAGCAATATATGGCAAAAATACTTTTACCAATTTAGTATTATAAATACCATATTTATACATCTACATCTTCCCATATGTGTGTATATATTTATATATACACATATCTATATATGTGTATATATATATATACATATATATATATATATATATATATATATATATATATATATATATATATACATATATATATATATATATATATATATATATATATACATATATATATATATATATATATATATATATATATATATATATATATATATATATATATATATGTATATATATATATATATGTATATATATATATATATATATTTATATATATATATATATATATATATATATATATATATATATATATATATATATATATATATATATATATATGTATATATATATATATGTATATATATGTTAATACTTTGCATTTTAGAAAAATAGTACAAAAGTTCGAAAAAAGAAGAATACAAGTAAAAATATTTTAAAATTGAAAATCAAAATATAACAATTATTGTTATCTCTTAAATAAGAAAGTTTACTAAAGTTTACAGAACTCTAACTAATTCTATACAAAGTATTCATAAATTTTTGTTGTTGCCACTTTTTGATTACCTGTAAATTTTTATTTTTCATTAATGTTTTCTATTTTTCTATATATATATATATATATATATATATATATATATATATATATATATATATATATATATATATATATATATATATATATATATATATATATATATATATACAGGGTGTTACCCAGGAAAAAGTTTCATACAGCGTTTTTGCAAAATTGGGAATTTAGGTGCGGCTATAAAAAAAAAAAAAAAAGTCCTTACATTCTGCAATTCAATTTTAATCAAAATAAACTTTCTATTTTTGCTGGGAGTTACATTTACAGCAGGATTATTTTTCTACTTTATATATGTTTAATTTTAGTTAATCAACTTGTTTCATTATGAGCAATCTTCTAAAGTTTTTACTTAAATTTCTTCTTTTCTTTGTTTTTGATGTACTGCAGCCGTTTTTCAAAATACCTTAATTACGTATTTCGAGAAAAGCGCAATTAAAAAAAATTTTTTTTTTTACTATGATCTTATAAACCTGTGGAAATTTTAAACCAATTGGGAATACCTTGTTATACGCGGTGCCATCAGGCTGGGTAACACCCTGATATATATATATATATATATATATATATATATATATATTGAGTCATGTGCATGAAGTCATTTTGTATTATAATCTTATTCTTTTATAACAAATGATCTTTTTCAGATACCACAGAACGAATTATAAATGCTCTTAACAGAAAAAAGCAAGACGATGGTAATTGTGAAATTTCTTTTTAATTGTTTGCATTTTCATTAGACACTTAAACTTGAAATTGTGTTTTCTTTTTTTAGGTTTGCTATTTTGTATAATAATCCACAAAACTGATGAATTGAGACCTGATTTTCGAATTAGACACCCTGTAATCAGAATCCATATTGTAAATATGAATAGTGGACATTATATAAAAAAGACAGATCCGTATGTCCTTTTTATTTTCAAATTTATAAATTTTTTTAATTTTGATTTAATATATGTTAATGAAAAATGTCAAAATAAGAATTACTACTTTAAATGACTATTTAGAATGCGAAAAGTATTAACTTTATACGAAAATGAAAATGTTGATTATATCCTCCCAGTATTAACTCAGCCATATGATATTGCCAAAAATAGGTATGTTATCATCATGTATTCATGGACAATTTATTTGATGGGTTCCGGTAATGAATTATATTTAGTTATTTAGCACTTTTAAAATCTGGAGAAATCCCATTATTTTGTTTAAAATTTATTTAGTTATTTGCATAGTTAGAATTTCAGTTATTTATCTAAATAATTATTATATTTAAATTGTAAAATATAATTTATTTTAGAATTAAATATTTATAAACAACAATTGTATGAATACATGCATTTAGTAGCATAATTATGCTAATAAATTGAATTATGCTAATAATCAACTGAATTATGTTTAGTGAATAAAATGCAAAAATTTCAAAAATCGGTTTTGTCTCTTGTGGTTGAATTGATTTAAATAATTGAATTAAATTTTTGATTATTATTATTTCATTTTTAGATGTCTTACGCCACAATGGAATGAAACAGTACTTTATAATGAAATCTTCTCTTATTTTTTGCAAAGAGAACCTAATGACCCACCTGTTATTTTATTTTTTGAGGTATTTTTATTTTTAAAATTTCTACCACTTTTAGTGGTGACACTTAACTAAATATGATAAAAAAGTATTACATGTAAAATATAAAAAAATAAATTTTACAAAGGTAGCATATAAAAAAATAGTTACTTATGTAAAATATAAAAATATTAATCTTTTTAATATCAAAATTGTCACAAATATAAAATATAAAAATATTAATCTTTTTAATATCAAAATTGTCACAAATGTAAAATATAAAAATATTAATACTACAAATTTATCAACTTCTATTACTTCTGATAATCTATTAAAATTAAATTAAAATTTTGTATACAACCCTCGGAACAAGGAGAAATGGTCAGCAATAATTTATCGACTTCAACCTTTTAGAGGTTGGCATCAGGTCGGCAAAAAAAAATTTGATGCAAAGGTCTTACCATTAAACATAGAAACAAGGTCGGCATTGCCGACCCTAATTCCGAGGGTTCTCTATACATAATCTTGCTTGATGACAATGCAATAATCTTGCTTGATTATAATTCAATATTCAAGGTTGATGATAATGCAATATTTAGTTTTTAGTTTTGCAATAAGTCAAATAATTGAATTAATTTTTATTTTTATATGATAATCCATATATATGCAATTCTAGGTTTAGCAGTTTTAGGTTTCAGCAATTCTAGGTTTAGCAGTAGTATGTTCACCTAGGATGCATAAGGTTCTAAATTCAAAATAGTTGTTTACAACTTTTTTTTTTCTTTTCTAAGTTTAAAAAAATAAATTTGCTTCCAAAAAAAAGTTTGTGCGAATTCCTTTAATTTTTTGAAAATTGTGACTTAAATATAGAAATAAAATTAAAATGTAAAAAAAAATTGGTTGGTGAATTTGAGTTTGAATAACAGAAAAGAATTGGGTTTAAAAGCATCCTTTTTATATTTACTTGTTTAGTTGACTTATTTAATTATTGACTTGTTTAGTTAATGACTTGTTTACTTATTGACTTGTTTAGTTATTGACTTGTTTAATTATTGACTTGTTTAGTTATTAGATTTTGCTTTAATGACAACAAAACTAAAAGACCTCTCAAAAACAGATCATGGTTGGCATAGACTGGCTTGGGCTTTCTTAAAGGTTTATTTGTTGATTTTGTTTTTTTGTTTTGTTATTATTTGCTTTGTTCTTTAAGAGAAAAATTATTTGATAGTTGCTGAAACATGTTTAGATAGTAAGTCCAAGTGGAATCACCAACACTGGTAGAAAGTTACGCCTACAGTTCTATCAACCAATTTCAAAAACAAAAGTTGCAAGCAAAGACGACAATAAATCAGTTGATGTAAATTCTTTAGCATATATTCTTAAAATATTCTTATCTATAAAATTTTTTTTTTTTAAATTTAAACTGATCACCCTACTGTTATATTCACCCTATTTCTACTACACCTTTTTCCTCTGGAACATCAATTATATATTTAATAACATGTTAAGACTTTGAGTGTGATATATTTATGCTGAATCAGCAAAAAAATTTATTAGTAGTTTAATAAATTTTTAGAAATATTTTAAACTTTTTAATTTCGGAACTTTAATTAGATAAAATATTTAACGATTCATAGGATGAACGACATGAAACATTAAATGAATCAATAAAAATGAAGCATGCAATGATTCAAATGAATGAATAAAAATGAAGCATTCAAATAAATGAATAAAAATGAAGCATTCAAATGAATGAATAAAAATGAAGCATTCAAATGAATGAATAAAAATGAAGCATTCAAATGAATGAATAAAAATGAAGCATTCAAATGAATGAATAAAAATGAAGCAAATGATTCAAATGGTTTTTTTAAATCATAAGACCAATTAAAATTTTTATCTATTAAAAATTTTATTGAAAAAATTTTGTACTTTATTTTTTAAAAGTTGAAAAATATTTTCAATAAGTTTTCTATTTAAATGTTAATCAAGAGATAATAATTATGCTTCATTGATTTTCAATGGAGATTAATTATTTTTACTAATAATAAGTACATAAGGGAGGCTGGGGAGACTTTGGACATGAGAAGAGAACAGACACTTGGAAATCTCATATCCTGTTAACATTAGGACAATGATGTTTATAGTCGATATAATGGTAGACATTCTTAGCTTTAAAATAGTTAGGTGACAGTTTCCTGCTAAAAAACAGATATTAGAGTGAAAAAACGATATTTTGGTCAATGATGTAAAATTTTAAATTTTAAGTGAATCATTCAGATCCTAGTTCTGAACTCTGAGTTGAATTTTTTTTTAGAAAAAATACTTACATTCCCAAACTACCTGTGTACGTTTAGGAATGTAAATATTTGCAATAAGCCCCTTATGGGGAGATTTCTGACGTTTTGGACATTGTATAAAGACCAATTGTTTGATGCTTTTGTAATGAATGCTAAATAACAATTCTCTATGGATAGTTATGAGAGTTTTGTAAATTTCCATTTGCACAATCATTAATGATTGAAACACCATAATTCCCTTGTAGATTAATTCCGCACAAAGATGAAGATTCTAGAGTGAATATAAAAGTCGTACCGCTAGTAGCACTAAAGTAAAGAGTAGTAGTTACTAGATAAAACAAAAAAGTTTAACATAATTAACGAGTTTTATTATCATTTTTGTCACACCTATTCAAAAGATGATCAGAAACTATAAAATAAAACCCAAGTGTACATTTTCATCTGAAAAGTTAAGGGAAGCCATAAAAGATGTCTGAACAAATAGTATGAGCATGCTGTTAAACATGGTGTTAGCAAATCAAGACTCTTTGACCATATCAAAAAGACTAAACATCAGGATATTGATTTAATAACTATTGATGTAAAAACTAATTTCAAGAAAAGTCAATTTTTTTAATGATAATAATAAGCTGAGTACATATAACCACAAAGTAAAACATATATAATGAGTACATATGATGATGGATTTAATGACAGCTATGCTGATAATTTTAATGTTTTAAGGACATGATATATTTTAAGTGCAATTTGGATGAATACCCTTTGCAATAATTTATAAATAAAAAATAATAAAATATAAATAAAAAATAATAAAATATAAATAAAAAATAATTTATAAATAAAAAATAATTTATAAATAAAAAATAATAGTTGAAATCGCGTGTTTATTAATTTGATATCCATAATCTCCTCTATACATGTCCGAAATCACCTCGCATGTGGGGTAACTTCCAACATGTATCAAAGAGATTATGAGCATCAATGGGACTTTGAACACTTGACTTTATTTTTTTATAATAGTTTTTAAACATTGAAAATCAATAAGTTAAAATACTAAAATATACCTTAATTATTGTAATTTGACAAAAAAATGTTACTTTCAAAAAATCCAATAGTTATTAAATAAGCTCATTTAAACTAAAATGTCTCCCCGGTCTACCCTATATAAGTATATAAAAATAATATTGTAGTTTAGTAGTGTTAGAGAAGAAAAATTTTTATTTTTAAGTAAATTTTTTTCAAACTAATTCTTAGGTTTATGATTGGTGGAAATTTGGTGTACTGACAAAATATCCTTCCACTCTATATGTAACAATCAAAGGTGTGCAACCTCCCAAGCAGCTAAATCCAACTACAAGATCAATGTTTCCTTTACAAAGAGTACTAGTTGATTTTATTTATGTAAATTCTTTAAAATTTAATTTTAGTGAAATTGATTCAAATGTATCTTTTTGATTATTCAGGAACAGGCTAGCATCACTTTTGAAGAGCTTAACTCAACATTAGATAGCAGAACTGGGGTCAAGTATTAATGTTTTTAAGTCTTTAAATGAAGTTTAATATTTTTTATAAGTTGTGTTTTATCTATAATTATTCTATTTTTTAGTGACCACACAACAAAAGAGTTTTCCTGGACCAAATTACCTGGTCAAATTAATAAAATACCAAATCATTTGTTTCTTAAGTTACCTTCATCAAAGAAAGGCTGTTCGGTTGTAAAGTTTTCAAGAAATGGCAAGTGAGAAACTTCTTTTACATAAACTATGTAATATATGGCTCTAAGAAAGTGACAGATGCAATGGCGATGTGAAATTTGATGATGTGATATATGATGGTGTGATATGATGTGACATGACATGTTATGATGTGGCAGGTGATATGACATGTGATGATGTGACAGGTGACATGACATGTGATTATGTGGCAGATGACATGACATGATGACATGTGATGTGTCAAAGTTTTCATAATTTTGATCTTTTCTGTTTTTTGTTTTTATAATTTTTATCTTTTTTTATTAGAATTGTTTGTGTGTATATTTTTGGTGAATTTATAAAAAAATAGGGTATTGTTTATGAAGTTATTAGGGTTGAGCCTTCATTTAAATATTGAGTTTAATGAAAATGTGCGTTTTATGAATTTTAAGCCAGTAGTTTTCTCCTCCAATGTTTCTTTTTTTTCTTTTTATGAGAATGAGAGCTTTTTATTTTCTTGTTCATCAAATTTTTTTAGGAAATTTTGCACTTAGTCATGTAATTTTTAATAATGTTTTTTATTTTATGTTTACTATTTTGCTTAACTAATCAGCTACTCCAGTCTAATTTTATTGCTAGTTCAGTCTTTTTAGTTTGTTTGATAGCAAAAAAAAGCCTAGGATGCTTGTTTTATTTAACGCAAAAAAAAGCCTAGGATGTTTGTAAAGGTTTCTGAATACAATAATGACCAAGTTTCACTTGGTTGTATAAATTCTCAACAGTTATTCTATCATATTATAGTTATAATCAGTGACACAATACAAAAGTTTTTTTATTAGTTCTTCCTTTGCCCTTTCTACCCAAATGGATAAATAAAAACATGAAAACAAACAAAAGTCCAATCTGGCTCTAGACGTTGTTGCCATTATTCTCTTCTTTTTTTTTCTAGTTTCAATTCAATCCAACAAAAATGATTATGCTGATGATTTTTTTTTATAAATAGATATCTTGCTTGTGGTTGTGCAGCTGTGGATGGCTTCTCTCTCTTAATATATGAGGTATTTTAAAATTATATTTTTGTTCTTTAATTGTTACTTGAAATAATTAACATTGCTACAAAATGAACCTAAAAACAATTTTTTTAGTTTCCTGATGGAACATTGATTGCATCTTTTGAAAACCATTTTGGCATTGTTTATGATTTATGTTGGTCTGAAAATGATGCAGAATTGCTTTCTTCGTCTGCTGATTGTACTGTTAGGTAAACTTGTAAAAAATTTAATTGATTTTTTTGACATGGCTAAAATAATGTTTGAGTTCAAGTAAGTTTAACAAATTGCTAAAAATGAATTTTACATTATTATATGATTTCTGATGTTTTATTTCATTAATGTGTGTATTAGATGTTTTATCTTTATGTTTCATCAAGTAAGTTTCATTAAGTTTAACTAATTGTAAAAAATAAATCTTTACAATTTTCTATGATTTCTAATGATTCCAAAATAAATTTTCAAAGACAATATTTTTACTTTAAATTTAACTGACGTTAAATAAATTTATATTAGTTTATTTATGTAGTTAATTAGATATTGTATAGCTTTTAGATATGGTATAGCTTTTAGATATGGTATAGCTTTATAAAGCACATTAACAAAATATATAAAATCAAAATGAAAACAAATTTAGTGTTTTTTATCATTTACACATCTTTTGTGTTCCATTATACGTGTATCCATGTTTTGTATACCATTAAGTGTGTATCTATGTTTGCATTGTTAGGTGGTTTTAGAGGGCTGCTTTTAGTGTGAAGCTCTTAATCTGGCAACCATGTTGTTGTTTTTTTTTCTTTTTCTTAATCTTTTTCATGTTGTTAACAATAATTTTCAATTTTCAATTCTTAGAGCAATTTATGCATTCATTAGTTGTTGTTTTTTTTTAATGTTTAAAAATGATTGGAAGTATAGTAGTCTGGATCAGGGAATCAGATTGTTTATGTTTGACTTTAGGTTTATTTTGTTTTGTTAGAGCAAAATACATTTGCCATTGTTAGTAAAAGGGTTATAACATACTTGCAATATTTGCCTTTTGATAAAGTGTAGTACTGATCTAGCTGAAGTGTAGTACTGATCTAGCTGATTGTTGTTTAACATTGTTCGTGTAATTGTTGTGAATTTTTATTTTTTAGTATACTATATATTTTATTTGTATTTATTTTATGGTTTTTATGTTTTTTTTTTTTACCAAAGTAATAGAATTTGGCATTTACTGTAGGTGTTGGGATACGAAGCGTTACTTGACAAGTTCAATCAAACTTTTACCACATCCATCTTTTGTCTACTGTGCACAGTATCATCCCAAACTGCAAAGGATTATTGTTACAGGAAGCTTTGACAAGGTCATTCGTTTATGGGATAAGATGTCAGAATCTCAACACGCTACGGTGATAATTAGTTTTTGACATTTTATGTACATGTAACCCACTTTCCAAAGAATTATTTCTTTTTATAACAAATAACCCTATTAGCTTTATTAAAATTTATTGGCTTTAATAAAATTTCATTGAAGTCAATTTTAAAATTAGTAAAAGTGGATCTAAAAAACATTTTCTTTTCAAAAGACATATCTACGACTAAATGGGTGATTTTCTTTTGAGGGAAAATCGAATCATGGAAACCTGAATAGGTGATCTTAACACCTGTTCATGCTAATTTATTTATTATTAGTTATGAAGAAAAATCTCGTAAGATTCATTGAAAGGAAACTGGCTTTTTATGAAATAAAAAATGCTATATCAATGATATGGCATTTTTGGTATTTTTCCTGTTTTGTCAATTTATTTTTATAATTCATTGTTGGTTACAACCCTCTCTCAATTCTTCAAAATGAAAATTCATTGTTGGTTACAACCCTCTCTCAATTCTTCAAAATGAAAATTCATTGTTGGTTACAACCCTCTCTCAATTCTTCAAAATGAAAAGCTTGACATAAAATGGCTCTGCACAAACAATTTGAAAAATAAGTAAAATTTTATTAAATGTTTAATTAATAGAAGTTTAAAAATAAACAACACAGCTTTTTATCATGATGCAGTCTACCAAGATCCAAATCATTCAATTTTTTTATTACAGGAAAATAAATTTTGTTCCATTGACAGTTAGAGTATTTAGAGTTGAGTTCTATATCTTGACTTCTACTAACTATTTTCTGTTCATCAGACACAAACAAATTGAACTTTGATTAATTGAACAATCAAGACTGTTTTTTCTGTTTTTTACTTCAACCAAAGCAAAAAGCTTTAATCAATCAAGATTCTAAATTACTTTTTATTTATCTACTTTTTTCTTATTGTTTGCACTGTTTTCTGACACAACACTTTTTTTGCTACTTTTTGAAACATTGTTTAAGTAATGTTTATAGATAATTCTTTTTTATTTCTTCTTTGATACAAAATTGAAAAAAAAAAACATGTCATAGATGCGCAAGTATTTTTTTTTTTTTAAACTGTTTTTTGGGTATTTAAGTATATTCTTAATTATTTTTCCAACTTTGTGAATAAGATAAAAAATTTCTTTGATTAGTATTTATGACTCTTTATCAAATCAGTTTTTTCTTATTTTGCAAAATAAAATTCTCATAAAAGAGAATGAAATATTTGAAATATATTTTATATTTGAAATAGATTTTATTAGGCACCATGATGTACAAAATATAACTAATAGAAGACTCTTATAGTTGGTTGTTCTGATGGGAGTATACCCTTGGTTACTTAGTCTTACATGAATGTCTATTTCAGCATAGCATAATTGATTACATCATGCTGAAATAACCATTTTTAGGACCCTCAGCACATTGACTGGGGGTTTGATTTAAACAGGTACAGTCTTAATTTCTAGAAATTTTTTAAAGTCTAGATTCAACCTGTTCCTCCATCTAACAGGTTTGTTCATTGAGGCTCATGTTTAAGAGTTTGGTTCATTGCGGCTTAAAAAGTAATTATAACTAGTGAGCTTTCAAATTAAAGTTTTATTTATTTTTCATAGGGCTAACTGGGAGTACCAAAAAGTCAAAATCATAGTGCACATTTAGATTCACTAGAAAAAAAGTTCTCTGTTACAAGATGATGTAACAAATAGTTAAATAAATTTGTCTGCCATGTTAGTTCACAAACAACTTTAACTTATAACTATTTGAGAAGAAACATCCTCATTTGAAACCCAACACTAAAAATGAGCTATAAATCTAAAGTGTCAGTATTTTTTATTGTAATGAATCAAAGATTCATTAGAGTAAAAATGCTACAACATGAGCTGGAGTTATGAAAAATCAAAAAATGTTAACTAATGAAGACTGCACTGGTATCAATATTAATGGATATAATGAACATAGCAATAAAAGTATAATTGATTTTAATATTCAACTAAGTTATATAAATGGACAAAAACAAACTGAAATGTCAGCAAATATGATTGAATTACTTGAAAATAAATTATTAGAAAAAGATAAGTTGATTTACCAGGTACATAAAATTATAGAATGGTTTACTTTTTATAGCAAAGTGACATTTTATACTTATTTAACAATTATTACAACGTTTATGATTTTATATGACTTCCTTTGCAGTAATATACCACATACATCAAAATCAGCATTGTCAAAGTTTAGTAAATTGACATTATCTTTGGTAAAATTATTAGTGTTGTTACGACTATTAAATAATTTGACTGTCAACTAAATGGGCTAATATATTTTCTTAAGTCAACTAAAATCAACTAATACATTTTTGAAAGTCGACTAAAAGTTGATTTAGTCGAAGTATTGAAATAATTTTTTTTTTTAATAAATTCTTATTTTATTCTAATTTTTCTATTTTTTAATATCGTATTATTAATTATCATATATGAAATTTTGATTTTGGAGTTTCACAACTTAATTTTGTCCCAAAGCCTTGAGCCAGCTTGGAGTAGCCCTGAATGAAAGTATTTATAAAAATCAAAAGCATTGAGTAAACAAAAAGGAAAAAAAAAAAAATGAAATACATAATCGAAAATTTAATTAGGTATAAATAATGCTAACATGGTATGAATTAAACAAAACTTTAAGAGAGTAAACAAAAAACTAGGTAATAATTATAATAGTTTGTACTATTGTTATTAAATAAACAAACAATAATAAAGATTGAAAAGTTAAATGAAAAGAAAAAAAGCTTTTTTGACTATTACTCAACTATTCGACTTGATCGACTCGATTAGTAGGAAGTCCATAGTTGATTAAATCGGCTATTCAAATTTTCAACTAGTTTAAAAGTCAACTAATTTCGATCTTCGACTAGTCGACTTTTAGTCAATTAAGTCGAAGTTGATAACAACACTAGAAGTTATGTCTTAATTAAACCATAAAGACCTATCATTTTGTAGTCAATAACTTAATGTTTTTTTCTATATTTATTGAACTAATAAATGTCCTGTATATTTATTTACACCAACTCAAAATATGCCTATAATTCTTCATACACCTACACACGTAATAAACAGTTGTTAAAAATGTGATTGTTTTTTGGTAACATTTTGATACAATAGTGCTTGTAATAGTTAATTGTTTTAAAATTTTTACACATAAATTAATGACCTATTTACTAAGAACAAAAATATTTTCAAGTTATAAACATAAATCATCATAACACTAAAGTTTTAACTTGGTGTGTTTACAACATATAAGTTATTTTAAAAAGTTTTTACTCTGTTTAATTACATTCTTATGAATAGATCATTAGCATAAACAAAAAATAAAGTTTTCAAAATTAGAGTTTGTGGAATAACAAAACCTTATTCCAATCTTTTAAAATATATAAATAATTTTATATATTTTAAAATATATAAATAACTTTATACATTTTAAAAGATCGGAAAAAGATTTATAAATAACTATTCTTGGGTGCTAAATAAAACAATGTCTCCCTCCCCCAAAAACACATTAATTTTGTTTTTTCTATGCTCATTTTCTAAATGACTTAGGATCAATCGATATTATTATTGTTTTTTATTTTAAAAATATTTATTTGGCACTTGAGCATACTAGTTTTCTCTCTAAGAATTTAGATTTTTTTGCAGAAATGCCACAAAAAAAAAAAAAAATCATTTCATGTTAAATATCTTCAACATTTTTTGGGTAACTGGCCTCTGATTGGACTAGACTTGACATAACACACAGCAAGGACTTACACATTATACCTAATGGTTGGACTTGTGTATACAAGATTCACATGTTATGAATTATGTTACAACAAATATTACTATTTTACCAATTACTATTTTTTACTGTATTTACTTACTTTATATTTACTTACTTTATATTTACTACTTATTTTATATTTACTATTTACTTCATATTTACTTACTTTATATTTACTACTTACTTTATATTTACTTACTTTATATTTACTTACTTTATATTTACTTACTTTATATTTACTACTTACTTTATATTTACTACTTACTTTATATTTACTTACTTTATATTTACTACTTACTTTATATTTACTTGCTTTATATTTACTACTTACTTTATATTTACTTACTTTATATTTACTTACTTTATATTTACTTACTTTATATTTACTACTTACTTTATATTTACTTACTTTATATTTACTACTTACTTTATATTTACTTACTTTATATTTACTTACTTTATATTTACTTACTTTATATTTACTTACTTTATATTTACTACTTACTTTATATTTACTACTTACTTTATATTTACTTACTTTATATTTACTACTTACTTTATATTTACTTACTTTATATTTACTACTTACTTTATATTTACTTACTTTATATTTACTACTTACTTTATATTTACTTACTTTATATTTACTTACTTTATATTTACTACTTACTTTATATTTACTTGCTTCATATTTACTACTTACTTTATATTTACTATTTACTTTATATTTACTATTTACTTTATATTTACTACTTACTTTATATTTACTTCTTACTTTATATTTACTACTTACTTTATATTTACTACTTACTTTATATTTACTATTTACTTTATATTTACTACTTACTTTATATTTACAACTTACTTTATATTTACTACTTACTTTATATTTACTACTTACTTTATATTTACAACTTACTTTATATTTACTACTTACTTTATATTTACTATTTACTTTATATTTACTACATACTTTATATTTACTACTTACTTTATATTTACTATTTACTTTATATTTACTACATACTTTATATTTACTACATACTTTATATTTACTACTTACTTTATATTTACTATTTACTTTATATTTACTACATACTTTATATTTACTACTTACTTTATATTTACTATTTACTTTATATTTACTATTTACTTTATATTTACTACATACTTTATATTTACTACATACTTTATATTTACTACTTACTTTATATTTACTATTTACTTTATATTTACTACATACTTTATATTTACTACTTACTTTATATTTACTATTTACTTTATATTTACTACATACTTTATATTTACTACATACTTTATATTTACTACTTTATATTTACTATTTACTTTATATTTACTACATACTTTATATTTACTACATACTTTATATTTACTACTTACTTTATATTTACTATTTACTTTATATTTACTACTTACTTTACTTAATATTTACTACTTACCTAAAATGTTTAAAAACCAGTTTTTGATAATGCTTGTTTTCTTATTGATTTCTCAACACCATTTTGTTGTTAAGTAGTAATTATATTAAATGTGTTTACAGTGTTCAAATAATTTGTTACTAATAATTAATACATTTGTATCATAAATATCAGATAATATCTAGGTTATAGGTTAATTTTTAGGTATATTCAAGGTTATTATGTGAGGTAGTAAGTTATTTTGGAGTATAAACATCATCATAAAAATTGGAAAAATTGCAGGATTATAATTATACAGAATCCTAAATATATAGGCTTTTATAAAAAAAATTTCTTTATACTTTTCAAAACACAATTATTTGCTTTTATTATTAACAGGTTCAATAGGAGTTGCACAATTTAATTCAATAGTTGCACAATTTACTTCAATAGTTGCACAATTTACTTCAATAGTTGCACAATTTACTTCAATAGTTGCACAATTTACTAAAGTGCGTTTTCTTTTTTTTCTTTTCTTGCAAAGTGTGTTGTCAAGCTTTCTTTTAAAAGTATCTGGTGATGTTAAGTTATGTCAACAACCACAACAGAACTACTAGTTTCAATGAAGTAGATAACATTTAATAGGCCTTTTTCTCGGTTACAGTTGTAGATTCTCTAATTTGGATGGTTGCTTGAATAAAAAATAAAATAGTTTATACTCAGAATGTTTTGAATTGTTTATGAACCAACATGGCAGATGCACATAATTTAACATAAATTAAAATTCGAAACAAAGAATATACAATCATTTATCCCCTTACTCTTTTTTTAAAACTTTATAAACAAAAAATCTGCTTTAGGGAGATAAATTAAGTGTGCTACAAACAGGGGCATCTTGCATTCATTCTCAAAGTTTTTAACACATAAACATGACACAAGTCACTCCATTAATTACGTTAAAAAATAGTAATTAATTTTTCTTCTTTAATAAAAAGTTTTGCTTTTTTCAAATCTAGTTTATCATTTAAATTGAAAGAATGATAGAAGAATGTTTGTTGCATTTTCAAATTATTGTGCAAACCAATAAATAATATATTATCACTGATGATGTCACTAATTCAGCTTTAGTAGATTTTTTTAAATTGTTCTTCTCTTTTCTAAAAGCATGACTTTGGTATTAGTTCTACTATCAAATAAAAATTTTTATAATAATAAATATAATTTAGTTACCTTTTTTTTAAATAGCTGCTTAGAGAACTTGATATTCATAAAAGTCATGTTAATGCTCTGGTATTTTCCATAAATGGTAAGTTTTAGATATGAACATTTTATTTTATAATTGCTACAAATTTATTGTAGCACAAGAATGTAGCAGGTTCTAAGTAGATAAGCATTGTTATTAGTTGCCTTCAATAGTTTTTTTTTTTTTTTTTTTTTTTTTTTTTATTTGCATTCACTCCCAACAAGGCTGCAAGCAACCACTATTAAGTTGGGAGTTACTAGGAAAAAAAAAGAACAGAGTTATAGAGCAAGGAAACGGTTGACAGAAGACTTGAAAAGTTGAAGGTTGTATGAGTCAGGAAAACATGAAGATGGGAGAGAGTTCCAAAGGATTGAAGTGCGGGGAAAAAAACTAGATGAATAAAAGTTTTTAGAGCATGCAGGGACAGATACAGTAAACGAATGAGACTTAGCTGAATGACGAGTAAAACGAGAATGAATTTTAGTTGATGGAGCTAGAGATGATAACTCCTTTGAGCAGTGACCATGATAGTATCTGTAGAAAAGAGAAAGAGATGCAAATTTACGACGATGGGAAAGAGGTTCAAGCTTAGCAGATAGTCCAGGTCCAACAACATTTACAATGCGTTTTTGGACCTTGTCAAGAAGAGAGAGTGAATCGTTAGAAGAACCAGCCCAAATATGACAACAGTATTCCATACAGGGACGAATAAGAGATTTGTAGAGGTAGAGAATGGAATCAGAAGTAAGGAAATGGCGAGCACTATAAAGAGAAGCAACCTTAGCAGAAGCTAATTTAGCAATCGATTGTATATATGGTTTCCATGAAAGGTCAGTAGTAAGCGATAATCCAAGAAGACGTAAAGAGGACGACTCAGTAAGAGGATTGCCATTCATTAATATAGGAATGTTGACCATATTACGGTAGTTGTTTGCAGTAAGCAATTGGGTTTTTTTAGAGTTGAAATTCACAAGCCACTGTGAACCCCAATCTATTACTGAAGTGAGATCAGATTCAAGATCAGCTGCTTGTTCTAGGCGATCGAAAAGAGAAGACTTTTTGTCAAGACAGGAGTATAAAGTTGAGTCATCAGCAAAAAGAGCTACTTTAGATGAAAGGTTGTCAGGAAGATCGTTTATGTAGATAAGAAACAAAACAGGGCCCAGGATGGAACCTTGGGGAACCCCAGAAGTTACTGGAAATAAAGAAGAGTGTTGGCCTTCAAGGATGACTTTAATAAACCGGTCAGAAAGAAATGATTTGATAATCTCAAAAACTTTCCCAGAAACACCATATGAAGCAAGCTTATGGAGAAGACCAGCATGCCAAACTTTTTCGAAAGCTTTAGATATGTCGAGAGCAATAGCCCTAGCCTCACCGCCTCCATCTAATGCACGATAAAATCTTTCAGTTACAGCAGTTAGCAAGTCGGCCGTAAAGCGAGAGGATCGAAAACCGTATTGATTGTCTGACAGCAGTTTATTTGACTCAAGATGAGATGTGAGGAATTTGTTGATTAAAGACTCAAAGACCTTGCTAATAACAGAAAGAAGACTGATCGGACGATAATTGGAGGGGTCAGAATTTTCTCCAGAGTTTTTGAATATTGGAACCACAGATGCCATTTTCCAACAAGCAGGAAAACAAGACTCAGTCAAACACTTGTTAAATAGTTTAGAGAGAATTGAAGAAATTTCTGGAGAACAATTCTGCAAGACTGTGACAGGAATGTTGTCTGGACCACAAGCTGTAGACGAGTTTAATTGAGATATGACTTTAGCAACAGAAGCTGGAGTGATTTGAATGTCTAACAATGGGTCAACCTGTTTGACTGGAATGGAAGGAAGAGAATGTCCATAAGATTCAAGAGTGGAATTAGAAGAAAAGTTCTTTGCAAACAGTTCTGCCTTATCCCTGGGAGAGGTAACAAGATCAATCCCATGAATAAGAGATGGAATGTTAGATCTACCCTTGTTAACAATGCTGTTGAAGATTTTCCAAAAGTCTTTAGAGCCTAACTTCTGCGATAAGATGCGAGATTTAGTGAACTGAGAATAATGGAGTTTAGCATCAGAAAGCACCTTTTTACATCGATTTCTTGCAATAATAAATAGCCGTTTGTTCTCAAGAGAGTTGTTCTTTTGAAAAAGATGAAAAAAATGGTTACGATTGGATATAGCAGCCGCACAAGAAGGAGAAAACCATGGAGTAGAATGAGGCTTGACTTGAAACCGACGAGAAGGAATAAAAGCTTTCATTCCAGCCTGAATCCAGGAGGTTACGTAGGAGGCACATTTGTCAGCTGAGAGAGAAAAAACATCAGCCCAAGGACCATCACGAAGAAAATCACGAAAGGAATCCCAGTCAGCTTTAGGGTAGTAGTAGGTGGTGCGATGATAAGGTGAGCCCAAAAAAGAAGTACGAGAAGAAAGATTTATAGAGATCATTGCATGGTCAGAACCACCTAAGGGAGAAAAGGGAGAAACTGAACATAAGCTAGGGTCAGAGACAAGACATAAGTCAAGGAGTGAAGGTAAATGATTAGGGTTGTCAGGAAAACGAGTCACAAAGTTAACTATCTGAGTAAGAGATTGAGAAACGCAGAAGTTAAAGGCTTTAGTGCTAGCAGGATCAGTGGCGTTAGAGCCAAGCCATTCAGTGTGATGGGCATTAAAATCACCAACAACAATATTGGTAGAGGGGTAAAGAGAGAGGGCATGGTCAATTTGATCAGAGATAACATCTAAAAGAGTGCAATCATGGGAAGAAGGAGAACGATAAAGAACAAAGAGAAAGGTGATAGAGTGAAGAGGTGCTAGGCGAAAGCACATAAAAGAATGGTCAAAGGATTCGAACCTGATTTCACGACAAATAGGGGAATTAATGCGTATGTATACCCCTAAACCTAGCATGTGACTATTGGAGTCTTTACGAATCAAAGGATAGTACCCATCAACACTGACATCTGAAGAAGGAATTGCAGAACTTAAATTTGTTTCACTGAGTGCAAGCAAGTCTGGTGAATTTTGCAGGAGGTAAGACTCAACTGATGGAAAGTTGCTTCGTAGACCGTGAATATTTGTAAAAGATATATTAAAATAATAGTTGGTAGTTGTATAGTTGAATATTTGTAAAAGATATATTAAAACAATAGTTGGTAGTTGTATTTTAACATAATAATCAGATGATGAAATATTTGAGTACTGTAAGTTTTGGAATTTTGCATTGTTAAAAAGTTATTTAAAAAACCAAAAATATCAATGTACATCTAGGAATTATTAATTGGATAAAGATAATTTTTTTTATTCCATTTATTTTGCAGGGGATATTTTTTTTTCTGCTGATGGTGATGGAATGATAATGGAATGGAACTGTTACTCAGAAAGTAAAAAAAAAAATGACCGTAAGTAACTAAGATTTTTAATTTAATTTTTTTTTTAATTGAGAAAAGGTTAACCCTACCTTACTCCTAGAGGAGTAGGTAGCATGGTGGTGGTAGGACCAGGTTTAATCCTAATACCTATACCACCATTGCTAATTAAGCTATGGTGTTGATTTTTTAAATTTGTTTACTTTTATTTAATTCAGCTGCTCTGATTGTTAGTCAATGGAAACTTCGTAAATCAATTGAACTCAATGAATTAAAGGTTTTATTGTATTTTATATTTAGCTTTATATGTTTTATATATATACATATATATATATATAGTATATATATATATATATATATATATATATATATATATATATATATATATATATATATATATATATATATATATATATATATATATATATATATATATATATGGAGTATAATAACCTGTGCCAACTTGCATCGAATCATACAAGTTGTGCAATAATTGCGCTTACTCATGTTATTTGCTAAAAGGGTAAATATGCTTAAAGTGGTTTTTACAATGAAGCAAAATTAATAAATGAAAATAGATAATTATCTTGATAATTTGAGACCATTAATAATAGTAAAGAAATAATAATTATTTACTTACAATAATTATAAATAGATAGTTATTTTGTAACATTGTAAAAATTGCTTTAAGCAAGTCCGCAGTTTTAGAAAAATTCAGTTGTTCTCATGTATATTATTTTATTTTAAAGAATTGGCAGTAAAATTCGGAAGTATTAAAAAAAAAATCTCAGTTGGTGACATCTGTTATCAAAAGGCACAAAATTACCGTCTAACTGTCAGGTTCTTGTAGTACTTTTTTTTAACATTCGCGAAGTTGACTGTTAGTGAAAGCAAAAATCTTGTCATTCAAGAGTTTATTGTATTTTGGGAAGAAGCTAGAACCCCTGCCAGAGCTATACCTAGCTGTGTAAAAAAACTTGTAGATCTTCACTATGTTTGAAGAAAGTTGCAAAAAAAAAACAAAAAAAAAACCAAGATAGCACAAGTACTGTTTGGAGAACTTTCAAAACAATTTAGATAACTTATTTGATATAGCACATGCTGATGCTTTGGAATGGATAAAAATACATAAACAAAGAAAACCAAGGCATCCAGGATGTTTAGCTTCTTTTTTGGCTAATTCTTTGTAGACAACAAATTAGCTGAAATAAAAGAAAGGGCAAGACAGAAATTTAAAAAAAAATGACATTAGCAAATGTGTTTCGTGAGTTTATTGTCATTTCTTACTACACAAGATTTTATACAAACGCAAAAACATCATGATCACACACAGCACTGATGAAAGCCCTGAGGAAACCTTACCGCCAACCTCTCAAATGGAAACTACAACAAAAAGAAAAAGGAAGAACTTTATCACACTTAAGGCAGAAATTATTATAATACAGGGCCATTATAAAGAGCCTATTTTTGTGTTAAAATATATTTTTAAAACAAAAACTAGACATGAAGTTACTACTTTTTGCTTGTCGCCATCATATTTACGAACTGGTTTTAATAATGTGTATTTAAAACAAAAATCCACTAAGTCACAAGTATTCCTGATATCCTAATGTTTAAAAAGTTTTAGTAAGTTTTAGTAAACAACATTTTAGTAATACAATTTTGAAAGATTGTTGACATTTTATAATTGAGAACTGCAAAAAACTATTGTACGTGATGATTATCAGGAACTAATTGTTATTTTCATAGAAGGTGATGATTGGAAAAAATTTAAAATCAGATCTTTTAGAGCAATGCATCAAGCGAGGTGGATGGCTAGAGCTATTTACTCTTTAAGGATATGTTTGTTGCAATCCCAGATCAAAATTAGCGCCAAGGATAAAAGAGCACTTTTACAGTTTCGTGTCTGCCATAAGTTTATTTTTTTGATTAAAAATTAATGATTAAAAGTTAATGAGAACCTGTAGAGACCCATTTCAATGTAGGATGAAGATGTTGTCTATATAGAGGCAAAAAGAATTTTTTTTTTATTAAGTGCAGTTAATGATGCAGCTAAAAGAGCAGTAAAACTTATTAAAGATTTTCATGGTTTGATTACTGCAAGGGAAGAACAAAAGCAATTTTTGCTACGCTGTGTGCAAGAACATAAAAATCTGTATCCAGACTGTAAAAAAAAAAACCCTTAAAGAAAAATATCTTGCTTGATCTGTAATTTTATAATTTTTTAATAAATATTTTATAAAATATAAGTGTTTCAATTAATTTAGCTACATTACATAAAAGATAAAATTTTAAGTCTGTTATATTGATTTTTTTTTTAGAAATTTGTCATGAAAAAAAACTATCAAAGCTATGCCTTAATTGGTTTTTTTTTTAAACTTATAAAAGTGAGGTGTAATGTAACGTTAAAAAAATCTATATTTGAGACATATTTTAATTGCATCTCATATCTAAATAGTATCTCATAGTAGATTTTGTTAAGTTATTTGGTCATTAAAAGAAAATATCCTGCTTTAACTGTAATTTTATATTCTTTTAATAAATATCTTATAAAATATAAATTTTTTAATTGATTTAGCTACAGAACGGGAAGGGTCAAAAACAGCATATATATATATATATATATATATATATATATATATATATATATATATATATATATATATATATATATATATATATATATATATATATATATATATATATATATATATATATATATATGTATATATATATATATATATATATATATGTATATATATATATATATATTTATATATATACATATATATATTTATATATATATATATATATATATATATATATATATATATATATATATATATATATATATATATATATATATATATATATATATATATATATATATATATGTTTCACCTTATTTCTGTAAAAAAATATTATAGAAAAATATCATAAAAAAAATTTATTACCAGTCTCTGTACTCCAAAAATTAGCAACACCATTTTCTGTGCCATAAAAAAAATATGACCCACATGAAGACATCGTATATGAAGGGTCAAAAAAAAACAATATATAAATATATATATATATATATATATATATATATATATATATATATATATATATATATATATATATATATATATATATATATATATATATATATATATATATATATATATATGTAATTGTTGGAAACTACTAACTTAAAATGTTTGAGGAACCATTTATTTTATACTGTAGAAAACTGTCATTGATACAATTCATTTACATCCTAATCAGCAAAAGTTACTTATTCAAAGCAGAGACTCGTTATTGAGGATGCTTGATTTAAGAAGGTTCAGGAATTTTTTTACTTTTTTAAATTTTTTTACTTATTTTAAAAAGAGTTCTACTACCGATTGTCATATCAAATTTGGAGGTAGATTTATTAAAAGAAATTATTAAAAAAACTTTAATAATGTATAATAAACATAAAAATATTATAAATTAAAAGTTATAAAATAAAGAAAAACTTTGTTTTTAGTTATGGCATACAAAAGATTTATTCTAGTGGTTATAACTTTAAAGAACATATTCAAGCTACAATGTCTTCATGTGGGTCATATATTTTTTGTGGCACAGAAAATGGTGTTGCTAATGTTTGGAGTACAGAGACTGGTAATGAATTTTTTTTGCTTTTTTCTATAATATTTTTTTACAGAAATAAGGTGAAACAACTAGTTTCCAGTTTACTTTAACCAAACTAGTTTTTTAGGTCAACTACTTCACACATACAATGATCTTGGTTATTTAAAGACTGTTTCAGCTTGTCATTTTCATCCACATGACAACTATATTGTTTTTTGTTCCTATGGAGAATCTCAGCCAATCTTGATTTATTCATACGATCCAAAAGGTTTAAATTTATTTTTCTGCAATTTAAAAATTCAAGTAAAGAATATTTTACACAATACATTAGTATCATGCCAACCTAAATATACATTAGTAAAATACACATAAGTGTGTGTGTGTTTACATTTGTGCTTACCGGGACTTTTGTTTTGTTTTTTTTTTTAATAATTTTTTGCTAACAAACTTAAATTAGTTCGCCTCATGAAAACAAAGTACACAGTTATGCATAAACTAAAATTTTGAAGACCAGATACTTTTTCAGATATTGCAATTCACAATCGCTTAAGATTGTTTTCCACAAGATGAAAAAAAATGCGCAACACAAATCTTTTTATCGCAACAAAATACTGTTTTGATTTCCACATATATTTTGTTTAGCCTGAAATAGATTTTTTTACTGTTGACATCAAGTGATGCAATATTCAAAATTTAATTGGTTTTTGCTTCTGGAGATCCCAAAATAGTAACTCTACTTTTTTTTTTTTTTTGCTACAGAGAAATGCTTGATCAGCAAAATTACAAGAAATGTTTTATCTGTGCATGCTAATCAACAAAAAAATTAATTGATTAATTTGTCTTGCGGAAAATAACCTTTAATTCAACCCTTGTATACACATACACACACACAGATTATATATGATTTTATATATGAGTATTTTGCTATGCAACTTCGTTGCTTAGCAAAATACTCATATAACAAACTGAGAACTAGTCAACATAGCGTAACTTTCCAGACGTGTAGATGATGCTAATAATTGACAGCTTTTTCCATGGTTTTAAGTAAAATTGGTAAAATCAGATGATAAATTTCTTCTTTTTCCGTAGGCACTGATTTATAAGGCAATATTTTTGTATTTTTTCACAATTTTAGTATTGCAGCATGCTATCAATATAAGACTGTACTGTCATTTGCATTTGAGGATGATGGCTTCACACATTACTGATCTTTTCTAAAAGTTGTGTTTGGTTTGCAATCGGATATTTACTTCTCTCCTGCTTCCCTCTTCATCAGCTCCCCATTTTTCTAATAAGGTTTATTTCTGATCTTATTAACTCGCTAATCCAATAGAGGAATTTTTTTCTCTTCCTAAAACGTTTTAACAGGTTGTGTTGTTAGCAGGGAGTTCCTTCTTGCATAAAAATAAAGGTTTCTCTATTTGGAATTACTCTATATACTGTGGAATCAACTGATTTTCTAATACTTTTTTGTATTGATTTTGTCTCATTAAATGTTTTACCATGTATGTCTAAACCTTTGGCAATGATAATTTATGTAGAGTGCTTAACAGTCTTAATGGCGCAGCCAGGATGAAATTTTTCTCCATGACAACAACACACAAACAGAGTTTTATTCTCTAAAAATTTCTAGAGACCTATCAAAAATAGAAAAAAAAAGTGAACATCCTAAATATCTCTGCTGGTCTTTATTTTATAAAAATGATATTTAATGTATCATTTGTGATAAAATAATACCAACTTTAATTGTTTTGCTTTTATTGCAACTGCTAATTTGGCCAGCAATTTCTATGAGGCCAGCAGCTCTTAAAACCTAAATACTTTAACTTTCTTTAAAAAGTGTGCTCAAAAGGATTTATACTAGCATTTAGGAGTTGCAATTTTATCATTTTTTGTGGTCGCAAATGTGTTTTCCAAACAAATTTTCCTTAAACATATTTCTGGCCTTGGTGTGAAAAAAAAGGCTTTCTGTTGCATTTTTTTTTTTTCATTTTGGGTTCTATTTGTCTGCTAACTCATTTTTGTTTATTCATTGCATTTTTACTTAGTGAAAGTTCAACTTTTTTACCCATTATGAAAATGCTCCAATTGATTATTTAAACAATGCACATAAAATAAACAAATGACTGCAAAGTACAAAAATGTGAATCAAATAAAGATAATGCACAAATCCACAGAGACACATCCACAATAGACGCATCCACAACTGACGCATGAAAAAAAGATTCCGGTTTGTAATCTTATGTTTGTGTATTAATTGGTTAACATTGTGGTGCCATACATTATAAATAAATACAAATTTTAAGTATGCAAAAAATCTTCTGAATAAAAAGCCATTTTTAAATATAAATGTATTACAAATAAACTCATGCAAAACAAGTATTAAAATACTGCAGGGCATCTAGGGTTATGAATTTTTTGTAATTCTGTGTTCCTGGGTCATAAATTGATGAATATTTGTACAAAAGTAATGAAAAAAATATTTATTCGATTTTCTTGTTGAAAAAGATCACCCACAAACCAAAAATTTACTATATATGCGAATGGATAAAATTTCAAGTAATTTCTTCTCTCTGGTAGAAGTCTCTTGTATATGAATAAATGCCAAAAGAGCATGTAATGCTCGGGAATTCCATCTTGCATTATTTAATTTAGGTATTTCCTAAAACTCCACTTTAGGAAATACTCCAGGATTCTTCAAAAAAGAGAAATACCTAACTTAAGTGAAATAAAAATTTCATATCATCAAGCTATCCTACTGTTTTAGTAATCACTTCTTTACCATTTTTGAAATTCTTTCTGAGCTGTTCGTAGTTCTTTACAAGTTCCCGGATAAATAAATATTTAATAATATAAGTTCATCCATTACTATGTGAAAGACTCAAGAACATGATGTTTGCAACCATTGAAATGTGGTTATTCCAGTTTCTTTTCAGTAAATTGTATATGACTAACAATCTCACTTCTTCTTCCAGTGTTTACATTTGTAGTGTCTGCTACAATCATCTATATACTCTTCCATAAATTGTATTCATCAAGAATAGCTGTTATACCTTTAACAACAGTATCTGTTTTTCTGTCTGGTAGATCTAGGGTTTGTAACTTTACTTCTTTTATTCAACACTAACACTTAATATTTTTGGTGACATTTATCATCAAAGTACAGTGACCAGCTTTATAAATGTATTGTTTTCTTCATTTCTCTTTTAAGTTTAACAGCTTCTTTAATAGTTGATCTAAATATATCAGACTGTGAAGGTATCTGAATATTGATCCTATCTTGAGATAACTGTTGACAAATGGTTGCTGCTTTGCTGGTAGATAACTTTGAAGATGTTACTAATTTGTTTGCAATTTTGGTTTTGCTGTAGCTCTTGCTGGTACTTATGGATTGTTCTTCTAAATCTTAAGATTCTTTGATATTCTGCTTCAGACTCGGATTCGGATGATACAATCCTTTGTCCTCACTATTTTTGCGATGTCAAAAATATCACAAAAAAAGATGTTGAATGGATTTTTTTTATATTAAAATATTCAATGAATCATATTTTCTTTGTTTTACACTTTTTTTGTGCATCTTCAGCAGTTGATCCAGTTTTGCCTGTACGACTTGAATTGATAAATGTGGAAAATTAAATTCTTTTACTACTTTCCCAATTAGCTTTATGCGTTCTTGTCTCTCTTTGATAGACTCTCCCAGGAACAGATAGCGGCCAACAATTTTGATTTTAAGTGGTATCCTGCTGTTATTTTCCAGTGATTGTTCTTCTAATGGAACGATATGTCTCATAAAATTACACAAGATTCTTCATCCAGATTATCTTGTTTCTTTCAGTAGAGGAAACACTTTTCTTGTAAGACATTATTGAAGATAATAATTGAATATATTTCTGAAAGGCAATAATGATATAAGTGTTATTGTACTTCCATATTATTTGACTACCATCTGGCGAATACAGATTCATATATAGTTATTAGGATTGCTCAATCAGGCAGCCTATATAGTCTAAATCTTGCTAATTTCCATAAACTTCTAGAAGACTTTAAAAAGTTCTGAAAAGTTTCAGAGATTTTTTAAAAATCCAGAACAGTCCAGAAAATTTCATAAAATTCCAATATGGAAATATGGAAAAGATTTCAGCTAGCGTGACATCCTTCTGAGGATGAAGATAGTATTAATATATTGTCAGGTGTCTTCCAGGCAAATTCGTCCAGTTGTAAAGATTTAGAAAAACAAAGAAAAAATGCCCCTTAAGATTTGTCCTAACACAAGATATTACATATTTAGACAAAATAGTTTACTGTCAGTGCTGACACAAAAAACTACATCTACTTTTATTTAATTTTGAAACAAAATTTTTTTTTATGTAGTGCAGTTTGAAATACAACAGTTACCTAAACCTTTCCATAACGTTGAACTCATCGAAACTCAGAAAAGAGCAAAAGACATTAGTGATCAATCCATAAAGATTCAAGAGACATTAAATTCTTCATTTGGAATGAACAAAAGTAGAATCGAGAAAGCATATGAAACACTTAATATGGTTACTGTAAGTTTCTTTAAACTTTTCTTTGTTCTTTGTAATATTTTTTGCTAATATTTACATCTTTTACATTCAATTGTATGTATATATTATAATATATTTTGTATATATTTGTTTATAGTTTTAATTTTAACTTAAAAATTGTGTATATTTTTGAACTTTCTAGAACAAACCAAATGAAGACAGAAAAACTGTTACATTTAAAACAGATGAGCTATCTCCTCGAGATTCTATACAAAATCCAACTTTGTCTACATGGGGCTCAGATTTTTCTTATTCTGTGAGTTTATATTTTCATTGTGTATTCTGCGAGTTTTGATTGTGTGTTTTGTCTCTATAATAGTGATCATGTTTTTCGTATGATGTGGTAGTAATCACTGAGGTGTTTCAGAAAAAAACAATCTTTGAAATGTATTCACTCTCTAAAGAGCTTCTTTTTAGTGAGCTTCCTTTTGGTGAGTTAATACATAAAGAAAGAATTTAATTTCATTGAAAATGTTTTAGGGGTATCTTCAACACCATGCAAATTGTCTTTGTTGAAAAAATGGGGGAGGGGGGTTTATTTGATTCACATTTCTGTGCTATTCAGTTATTTGTTTATTTATGTTTAAAAAATCAATTAAAAATCTTTTTCTGGATGGGAGTCAAAATGACTGACATTGTTTAGTGAACTTGTATACTGAAAAGTAAACTTCCTTTTGCAATATGTAATGCAAAGTAATTTAATAACTGTGTATAGTGCTTTGAACAGTGTTTAGGCTATCCATCTGGCTTTATGAGAGGCACACCTGGTCTGTGATTTATATAAACAAGTTATCAAGCTTTTTTTAATTTTGTTTTCATTATTAGGATCTTTTTTATTACCACCATCAACTTTTTTTTATCATTCATTTTTATTCTCTATGCATATTGATAATTTCCTTTATTATGCATTTTTTTGTTGAGTTGGCAATTGGTAACCAAAATGTTGTTAGCTGATCATAAACTTGTTGTGTCCTGTCTTTTATAGTTATTTGCATAATTAGGTGATGAAATAAAAAATTATGCATAATATCTTGTCCTAAAAGGATCAAGGATTATTCTATACTATACATAATTATACTATACATTATTATACTATACATTGTTATACCATACCTTATTACTACTGCTATTATTATTACTAATTAAATTAGCCTTACTTAATGCTTCCAGAATATATAAAGTGACATCATCAATCTTTCTAAATGATAACAAATAATAACACAAAAATATTATTTGTTAAATAAGCAAGAAGAACAAAGTTGTGATTTTTTGGGTCACCCTAGTAGTTATGTGATGTTGCTATTAAATGTGATAAGGTTTAGTATGATATTTTAAAATTGCTTTTTTAATGACTTTTTGAAATTTCAGCCAGAAGGCCTACAATCTACAAAAATCACAGGTTTTTTTTTACTTTAATTAGTAATTTTTTTGCATGTTATTTGCTTTACTGTTTGTTGTTGATTATCTTGCTGCATGTTGTTTTGTTTTATTGTATTTTTGATTTTAGTCACTAGTTACTGTTTTTCTTGTTGGTTATTATTGGGTGTCTTGTTGGTTATTATTGGGTGTCTTGTTGGTTATTATTGGGTGTCTTGTTGGTTATTATTGGGTGCCTTGTGACAATACCCTTGTAATTAACTCTTTCGTACCTATATTTAATATTTGTAAACAGTAAAAATAAAAATACTATACTGAAAATGATATATTAGGAATAAAAGGCATCATATTTACACCCCATAACTATATATTTTCAAAAACATAAATAAATAGAGATTGTGTCTCTTTTTTTAAAAAAATGAAATACCAATGATAGCAGATACAAAGATCATGTGACTTTTGCGAATTTTTTTATTTTTTTTTATTAACAAAAAAAAGTCAGGCTTCATACCTTAAAAAAAGTTAATATATTATTTATCAAGACTTAAAACTATTGTGGTGCATTCTGTAAAACTATTGTGGTGCATTCTGTAAAACTATTGTGGTGCATTCTGTAAAACTATTGTGGTGCATTCTGTAAAACTATTGTGGTGCATTCTGTAAATCTATTGTGGTGCATTCTGTAAAACTATTGTGGTGCATTCTGTAAAACTATTGTGGTGCATTCTGTAAAACTATTGTGGTGCATTCTGTAAAACTATTGTGGTGCATTCTGTAAAGAAAATAGATAAAAGTAAAGTGCTTAAGCAATTAAAAAATCTTTAAGAAAAATTTATCAACAAATTAGCCAGAACCACAAAAATTTAACTAAATATAATACCATAAAAAACACTTTTATACCATAAAAGGCATCAAATTTGCACTCCAAAATTATAGATTTTTTTAAAGGTAAACTCGTAGACATTGTGAATCTTTAAAAAAAAAATTAAAATATCAGTGATAGCGGACATTATAATCACACTAATTTTCAAAAAAAAAATTTTAATCAAAATCAAACACTCTAAAAAAACTGTCAACTTTGGGGTTGTTTACAAACTACAACACTAAATTTTCAACCATTTGAGACCCCTCCCCTCTCCTCGTCACAACATCCATAACACTTTAGTAACAAGTGACGTATGAATTATCAATAAACCACTAACATCCCCCCTCCTTCCCTGCTCCCCCCTCCATCCCTAAGGGTGATGTAATTTATGGATCCCTTATTTCTATTACAAAGCTTTAAAAGTTAGTTTATTACGGCTAATTTTAAAGCTTTAAAAGCATAAAATCTTTTAATTAATGGGTCTACTAAGAAAAACCTTTAATTATTGATTTAAGGGTCGTTAATGACCCGTTTCAGTGCGAAAGAGTTAGTTGATTTGCTTTAAAAACTTATTTGAGTACTTGGAAATTTTTGTTTAAAGGAGTTAATGTTACTTTCTGAAGCTTTATTTATTTTTAAAATGACATAGTAATAATTATTCAAATATAAATTTTTTTTTTTTTACAGCATCAACTCCTCAAATTTTCTCTTCTGTGAAAAGAAATTTGGTAATAAATTAATTTTTTAGATTATTTTTATTTCATTTTTTGAGTCTCAAAGTTTGCATTTTTTTGCTCGAAGAAACTTTTTATTTCTAAATATCAATCTCTTGAAAGTTTTCTTTTATAATAAAATATTTTGCAATTTTTATTAATTTGACATTATTATTAATAACTTTTAGATTAAGATGGTTCCATCACAGTGTTGCTAATTGCCCGCTTTTTCTAAATTTTATTTCCTTATGTTTCCAACTTATTGTTGTTGAATGTTACATTTTTTTTTATCAATATATCATCTTTGCATTGATTTATTTTATCAATATATCATTTTTGCATTGATTTATTTAAGACATTTTTAGAACATATTTTTGAATTTAGAATCATATATATGTTCTAAAAAATTAACAACACAAATCTACAAAAATCGGATTGTTTTACTTTTTAAAATATTTCTTCACTTTTATATAAATAGTATTATTTTTGTAATAATTGTTACAATTGTTAGAAATTATTTTTGTTATAACAGAATAGAAGCTCGTTTATCCAATCTACTGGAGGATTACCGAAAAAATCAAAAACTGTAAGTGTAGAAAAATTGGAAACAGGTATCACATGAATGTTATAATATAGAATGTAAATATGTTGTAAATGATAGCATGTAGTACATATAAATGCATAACACGTAAAATACAAAAGCAATTTAAAAAATGATATTATGTAAGGCATTATAACACATGATACTATGTAAAGCATGATAACACATGATATTATTTTAGACATAATAACACATGATATTATGTAAGATATGATAAAGTTTCTAAACTTCTCTGTACAAAACAAAAAACTAAATGTTTATTAAAAAAAAAAAAAAAGTGTTTTTCACAAAATATTCTTGAGGTTAAAAAACTGTTTAAAATGTGCATCTCAAAAGTTGTTAATATCACACACAATTTTTGTTTAGTATTTTGAAAATGTTCTCCATCTTCTAAGTGATGTGTTAAAAAAATTTAAGTACTGTACTAATATATCTGCATAAAATTGAGTCATATCAATAATTGAATGTATCCCCTACTCTTAAGTGCTTAATACACGGAAGGGTGTGTATTAGTTTTCAAAAATCACTTCCCTCCACCCCTCCTCCTCTATTTTCCTCTTTTCCCCTATCTCAAAACTTAAAAAATAGTCAGAAAATATATGTTTCAGCCACTGGTAAGAATAAAACTTTCAGTGTAATCTTTAAAAATTGATAACCTTTAAAAAATTTCATAAATCTTAATTTTTCAAAAAAATTTATTAAATCTTGACTTAAATCCCCCCCTCTCGCTCCCCTCTTCTCTCCACCTTGTATTAAGTACCCAAGAGTAAATGGCTTGTGTATTAAAAGAGTTTATATCTTGTTCTTATTTTCCACTTTAACACATTGTATAGTTTGACATTTATTTTTAGGTGGTATCGCTTTATGAATATGAACCCACCAGAGCAGATGAGCTTGCCTTTCAACCTAATGAAATAATAACTGTTATATCAGAAGAAAGTTCTAATTGGTGGATAGGGCAACTATCTGATGGTCGTAAAGGTTATTTTCCTGCTAATTATGTTATGGATACAAGTAAGTATTTTTTAATATTTGTCAGTTACTACAGTTACTATGTTATTACTGTATCTAATACTATTTATTCAGACATAAGTTTTGTTAATTCAATACATAATTTAGTTACAAAAAATATTAGGTCATGATTGATTTATTGCCACATGTTAAAATGTATTAATATTTAGCGTCCACAACAGGCACACCTATGATATAATTTTTAAAAACAGAATTTAAAACTTCAAATTTGCTTAGTTCAAATTTCTTTTATACAATTGTATGAAATAAAATTCAAAAATCACCAAAGTGATTTTTGAATTTTATTGTAAAATTATTTGAGCATGAATTTCTCTACAAAAAAAAATTTTTAATTATACTATACTCGTATCTTAATCTTAACTTTTCGGATAGTCGTGCATGGGCATGTCACGCTCTGGCCTTTCTATGTTTAGTATAAAATATTGGCTACTTTGAGTTTTACTTATTTTAGAATAAAATAATTTGTTTAATTTTATAAATATGTGTATGTATATATATATATATATATATATATATATATATATATATATATATATATATATATATGTGTGTGTGTATGTGTATGTGTGTGTATATATATATGTGTTTATAACATGTGTGTGTATATTTTTTTTAGTTTTTGTTTGCATTTTTACTTTTTTTGCATTTTGCATTTTTACTTAAAAACAACTAGAATTTTTAATAAAATTTTAAAACTTTGTTCTACATATATATATATATATATATATATATATATATATATATATATATATATATATATATATATATATATATATATATATATATATATATATATATATATATATATATATATATATATATGTATATATATATATATATATATATGTATATATATGTATATATATATATATATATGTATATATGTATATATATGTATATATATGTATATATATGTATATATACATATATATATATATATATATATATATATATATATATATATATATATATATATATATATATATATATATATGTAACATAAATCGGAACACAAATAGTACAGTCAAATTTCTATTTATTGAGTATAAACTCAATTCAGAATATACGCTGATGCTCCACAGTGTAATGGCTGAAAGAGTGTCTGGAAAGTATTTGTTTAAAGCACATGAACCACGTCAAGGTTCCTTCCTATTCATGTGTATGATTTTTTATCCAGAACCCTGCACATTTTTATTCCTGGACTACATATAAAATATAATATATTAAGGCAATGTTTAGTGGATCAAGACTTTTTGGAGCCCAGGGCTATTTTAAAGCCTCTTTCCATCATAAATCAAATAACTTGTTTTCAGAGTTTCTTTTAAAAACATAGTTTTTTATGAACAGAAGCCTCCAAAACTGTGGGGCCTAGGGCTATAGCACTGGCGACGTAACTCCATAAGAATGTATGCAAATGTTTTTTAAAATTTAAAAAGTTTAAAAAAATATATATATCCACTGAGCACAACCCACCTTTTTAGATAAATAACAGATTTAGAAAATGCAATTTTCAAAAGGTTATTAAAAATTCTTATTTTATTTAAATTATACAGTTGATGGTTGGTGCCAAAGTTTAGAATTTTTAAGCACCGCCTAAGAGTTGTGTTTTTTATTGGTTCAGTTATGCGCAAGTTACCTTTATTTACACCGCCATAGAGTTATGTTTTTTATTGGTTCGTAATGTGCAAGTTATCTTTGTTTATTGAAAAATTCTAAAGAATTGTAACGTTTGTTTATAAATGTTTTGTTTGTATTATTTGAATTTATTTTAGATCAAATCTTGTAACTGCCACGATAGTTTAGCATTTAGTTTAAATGTATAGTTTAGTATGAAAGTTTTTGTTAGTTGGTATTTTATGGGTTCTTAATTCAATAGATTCCTATGTTAATGCGACATTTTATTCTATTTTATATTTAATCAAGAAATAAAGATGTGCAGGGAAAAACATTTTTGATTGATGGTGTATTTTTCTTTTGATGGTGTATTTTTCTGTCATATGCCTTCAATCGTTCTGGATAAAAAATCGTACACATGAATAGGAAGGAACCTTGATGTGGTTCATGTGCTTTAAATTTTGGATGTTGAAATAAAATGTCGCATTAACATACGGTTCTATTGAAGTAAGAACCCATAAAATACCATCTAACAAAAACTTTTATGCTAAACTTTACTTTTATACTAAATGCTAAACTATAGTGGCAGTTACACGATTTGATCCAAAATAAATTCAAATAATACAAACAAAACATTTATAAACAAACTTTACAATTCTTTAGAATTTTTCAATAAGTAGTAAAGGTAATTTGTAGGTAACACGTAACAAATAACTGAACCAATAAAAAACAACTCTTAGATGGTGCTTAAAACTTCTAAATTTTGGCAACAACCATTAACTGTATAATTTAAATAAAATAAGGGTGATTAATAAGAAATATTTATAACTGACAGTTATTGCTTGGCATCAAGCTTAAGGCAACATCAATCAGTTGCATTTTTTCTGGAAAAAGTGTTGCTTATATTATAATTGATACCATGCAAAATCTATATTTAAAAATATCTTTAAATAATATGTTTACATATAAAAACATCACAGCAGCAATATTACAAAACTATGCTAGCTGTTTGTACTTAACTTTAAGACAAGCATATGTTTTTAAAATAATACTATAAAAATGTATGTTTGTCGAAGCAAATTATAAACTGCTAGCATAGTTATATTACTGTTGTGATGTTTATGTATCTCTTTTTTGTATTGATATATATTTTTTATATTTTATTAATATATAAATAAAACATATCTATACAAAAAGTATATATATATGTTTAGATATATAAACATTATTATCACAGCAGCTTATCACAAAACTATGCTAGCAGTTTATAATTCACTAAGCCATGCATATATTTTTATAATGTTACAAAAAGAGAAAACAAAGTATTGTTTACTTTTTGCAAATTCATAAAACTGCAGATAAAGCAACAAATTATCTTCACTGAAGATAATTGTTGCTTTATTGCATAAAGTAAATAAATCATTATAAACGGTTAATAGCTTAACAAGTTTATCCAATTTCAAGCTTTTTATGTTTGTTATATTGTTAGAAATATTGCTTAAAATAAATGCTAGAAAGCATAAAGAAATTACTTCATAAGACAACATCTTGCAAATTTCATTTGCAAGATGTTGTCTTATGTAGTAATTTCTTTATGCTTTCTAGTTGTCTTATGTAGTAATTTCTTTAAGCCATTCATACATAATAACAAATGTCAGACATAAATAGGGTACTTTAAGAACTTTACATATGCTAACTGCAAAACACTTATGAAATTTATTGGCTTATTTATCCAATTTTTTCAAGTTACACAATTAACTTCCAGACTTTTTATCTAGATCCAGATCAGATTAGGCGGATTGACCACTCAGTTCTATACTACTTGAGGCATAATTTAAGTTTCCTTAGTTAAAGTGAATAAAAATACACCTCGTAAGGTGATTGAAAATACACATCGAACCAAGATTAAATTAGGCAAAACTTATTTAGCCTAATGCATGAAAAAGCCATTTGTTTAATCATAGTTTGTAACACTTCCGCGCTAATCATAGTTAAGTTACTTGTCAGCAACGCCGAAACCATGAATAATAAAAAAAGCCCGATGGAACTTTAAAATGTAAAGTAAATTATCACATTTTAATTTACATCTTAATAGTAATATTTCTTCTTAGGAGCCGCCTAATATGTTGTACCATCCCCTATCCTATACCCATACCCATTCCCTCATACCCCATACCCATCCCTCTCTCTCTCTCTCTCTCTCTCTCTCTCTCTCTCTCTCTCTCTCTATATATATATATATATATATATATATATATATATATATATATATGTATATATATATATATAATAAAAAAAATTTCCTCTTTATATAATGCATTGCACTACCCTTACGGTATCACACTAATATTATTAAGTTCTCTTAATCTATGGAATCGCTTTCTCTGAATAAAATCCATAAACAAAATAAAATTTAAATCTTGTTAAATTTTACAAATTTTTGAAAAATAATAGCTATAATGCACCTAAAACATCAAAACTTGATTTCCCCACAATATTTAATGCATGCATAAGTATAACATACTGAAAATGAATAAAACAAAAAATTACAAGTAATATAATACTATAAGTGATATACATAGTATGAAATTTATAGAGTATGAATTTACAGAAAATAAAACAATTTACATGTTTATTATTTTATATTAACTACTTGATAAAAATAGTATATATAAATTTGATAATAACTTCAAGTTTTAACTAGTTAAAAAGAACCATTAATACAACATATCAATCCAAAAAAACATCAAGCCTATTTATAAGTGCGACTGCACTGTATCTGTAGAAACAGGTAGATGTCAAACAAAGTACCATTCACATTTTGATATTCATTTTTTTTTTCACCGTAGTTAGTCTCATTCTCCATTTCACCAATCTAGACAATACATCATACAACTATTATATACATTCTAACTAGTTTTCTTTATTTACTAATTCATTTTACTTATATTTATTATTTATTATAACTTACTTTATAATTAGGCATTATACACAATTATGAATGTTGCCAAATGTTAGGTAACATTTATATAGAAAAAAGTAGCAATGAATATATCATTATTTATAAATAACAACTATTAGATTATTACCTCTTTTTCGCCTAAGCTATCTGCATTATGTACAACATTGTTTATATTTCCAGTCAAACATTACTGCCTATAATGTAACTTAATCAAAATGATTTGTTCAAACTAATACATATATAAATGTTACCTGCATGTTAGAAACATTTTTATAGAACAAGGCAGCAACAAATATTAAAATAAGTAATTAAAAAAAAAACTTACTTCTTCTTCTGAGCTATCTGCATGATGTACAACATCATTTACAAACCTGTTTTCTTCACGTCCTTACCATCTTTATATATATTATAAAGCACGGGACTTGTTAATGAACGGCTTAATAAATAAATTAAAAATTTATATTGCCAGTCAAACCTGCCTGCTAATAAAATAGTTATTTAAATGATATGATAAGGTTAAAATGAAAAGATTTATGCACATATATAAATTTTACCTGCATGTTAGTAACATTTATATAGAGCAAGGCAGCAACAAATATAGTATAACTTATAAATTGTAATTTTAAGTAAAAACTTAATTCTTTGTCTGAGCTGCCTGCATGATGTACAACATTATTTATATTGTCAGTCAAACTTATCTGCTTATAATGCAGTAATTTAAATAAAATGATAAAGTTAAAATAAAAGAACTTATACACACACCATTAATTTCAAAAATTTGTTATATTTTCACTTTACTATTTAAAACATAACAAATATAATAAATATGTAATTTATAAAATGTAAAAGCGTAATAAATATCAAAGTGTGTGCATAAATTAATTTATTTTAACTAAAGACGAGCGCTTTACATTAGTTAAATATAAAAAAATAAAAATAATTGTATTATAATAAATAATAGTGCATTATTTATAAACATTGCTTTTATATGCTTATATTTAACTATGAAGTAAAATCTTGTGCATTAATTAACTTCCCTTTCTGATATTTTTAAAACATTACCACAGTTTTCCTTCTCCAACTAAGTGGTTCTTGGAACATCCTTACAAGTTGAATCCCAAAGATTACGTTTATATCTTTTCTGGTTAATTTAAACTCAATTCACCATTTTATTTTTACAGCTTTTGAACTATTTTTAAAAATATTAAATGCATATAAAAACTGACGATGTTATAAACGATATAAACGATGAGTAACATTATTTATATTGCCAGTCAAACCTGTCGGCTTATAATGTAGTAATTTAAATAAAATAATAAAGTAAATATAAAAGAATTTATAAACAATGTTTATATTACATTATTTACATATTCTAATAATTCTAAAGAAAAAACAACAACAAAAAGACAAAACTTCAAGCATTTTTATGTAATCTAAGGCTATTATAAAAAAATAAAAAAGATCGTACTAGTTATCTTTAGTACATTAGTTATCTAATATTATTATCTTATCTTATCTCAGTTATCTAATCTTATCTGATATACTGCTTATATATTAATATATTAGATAAGTTTGTTTAATATGTTAGATAAGTTTTATAATAATTGTTATATTAGTTTTAATGTACATTAGATTACACTATGTACATTAATACACTAGTTATTCAATGTAGATTAAAGCTAAACGTTTATTTGTTGTAAACTAAATAATAATTATTTGGCAAATAATTTGCCAAGTAAGCATTAAAATTCAAACTGGTTTACTTGACATACTTGCTATACTATTGCAAGTTATGCAAAGTAAGCAAAGCTACTGGAAACAGTTAAAATAAGTATATGCATAAATGATATATAATTAAATATAATTAAAAATAATCTATTTTATAATGCATTATAATATGATAAATATATCTAGTTGTTTAAGTCTGTATGTTTAGTTTGAATCATATAAATGTGATGCATTATAAAAAACATATAATTTATTGTCTTATTAAACACAAAAAAATAGAAGAATGCAGTAAGTATTTTTTACTCAAGTTAAAAGTAATCGTAACTCTACGAGCTATGACGCCATCTTTAAAAGCGCATTCGTAACAACCATGGTTTTTTTCATAGCAGCATAAGCTATGAAAAAAACCATGGTTTACCCATGGAAATTCCATAGGATTTCAATTTTCATAAAATTCACCCATGGAAATTCCATGAAATTTCCCTTTTCCATGGGAAAACCATGGTTTATTCATGGAATTCCATGGGTTTACTCATGGAATTCCATGGGTTTTCCATGGAATATTTCCGTAAGGGTACATTCCTTTCGTAACGTTTTCTTGTGTAAGTATTGTCATTATAGAGTTTGTATTATAGAGCTATTGAGAGGAGAAATATTTAACTTTAAATTTAATGACCTCCCCATCTTTGGAAGATTGAGGGAAGGAGAGTTGAAAAATACTTTGTATTTTTATTTAGGTCATTTTCACACTAATGAAGATGATAAAGATGACAACTTGAAAGACTATGTGAGATTTATTTAGAAGCATTTTTATTGATAATATTGTAAACTTATCAACTTTTATGTTGTTTATTTCAATGGTTTCTTTAGGTAGCTGCTGTAAACAGAAAAGGAGATTTAAAAATAATATCTTCTATTAAGAATTCTGATCAGATGAATCTTAGCAAGTAATTTTTCTCCTTTGTTTTATATATTTTTATCTTAATTTTAAATATATTTAAACTTCTTTAAAAGTAGTTCTATACTGAAAATCACTTAGAAATGATTTTTTTTAATTGAAATGTAAAATACAAGAGTAGTATTCTTCAGGTTTTTCTCTATAATTAATTTTTTTATCTGCATAATAAATACGGTGCAAAAGGTATTGTCTGACCTATCCATTGTTCTCAGAAAAATCTTAATCTAAATAAAATAATAAACTTTACTATTTAAAAATGTAATTAAGTCTAACATCCCATCTTTCATACATTAATACTTCTAACATTCCAACAGTCTAACATTCCATCTCTCATACATTACTTTTATACATACTTCTCTCAAAGAAAAGAATTGTTTGCATAGAATTTTTTAATCCATCTCTTTACTCTTATGACCAACACTCATTCTGTCTTCCCAAAGATACTGGTTGTTCCACTCTTAGACATCGAGATCGCTCCTGGATCCGTAGTTATTTTTTTACATAAACTCCTTAACAGCTTGTGGTCCGAACAATATTCCTGTCATAGTTTTACCAAAGTGTTCTCAAGGAATCTCATCATTACTCTCTAAACTACAAGTGCTCTTGTTTTCCTACCTGCTACGTCCTTTTAACTGACTCTTGTTTTCCTACCTGCTACGTCCTTTTAACTGACTCTTGTTTTCCTACCTGCTACGTCCTTTTAACTGACTCTTGTTTTCCTACCTGCTACGTCCTTTTAACTGACTCTTGTTTTCCTACCTGCTACGTCCTTTTAACTGACTCTTGTTTTCCTACCTGCTACGTCCTTTTAACTGACTTTTGTTTTCCTACCTGCTACGTCCTTTTAACCTACTCTTGTTTTCCTACGTGCTAGCAAAAGCGTGATATGTCATAATGTTTTCATATTTGGGGTAGTTTTTTTGATGAAGCTCTCTCTTTTTTAGATAAAATCTAAAAACATATTGTAAATGTTGTTGGACCCGCTCTAGATGTCAAACTCGAGCCTCTAGCTGTCATGCTTGAGCCTCTAGCTGTCAAGCTTGAGCCTCTGTCCCATCGTTGTTAGGTTGCCTGACTGTTTTTCAATTCTACATATATTACCATAATTGCTTCTCAAGCGAGTTATCATCACTTTTTCCATCAACCAAATCTCAATCTCGCATCACTCGTCATTCAGCAATGTGGCATTCTTTAACTAGAACTCAATCTTTCATGCTCATAAGCCTTCTACTTATCTAGTTTTTTCCCTCAAACTCAATCTTTCATGCTCATAAACCTTCTACTTTTCTAGTTTTTTTCCTCGAACTCAATCTTTCATGCTCATAAACCTTCTACTTATCTAATTTTTTCCCTCGAACTCAATTTATTTAAAGTAACATTTTTATTATATTTTATTGTATTTCAAAAACTTTTTTTATTTTTAGACTTAAAAAAAAGCTTCAACTTTCAAACAAAGATTCAATAGCGTGAAGTTTTTCAAAATTCTATTAAAATTCAAAGTGAAATATATATGTAATATTAAAATCAGTTTATTGTTTAAATTATTATATATTGTAAATTTGAAAAATAAACTTGTTTACGTTTGTTTATTTAAACTTTTTATTTAAACTTGGTTTCTCTTAGTTGTAGAAATGTCGTACAACAGTTGCGCTATAACTATGTTTTGTGAAGGCTTTTAACGCTCCTATGGAGAAAACGCCAAGGGCCTTCTTCCCGGGACAGCAAAAAATGAGAGCTTCGCTAATTTCCCTATATTATATTGGCCTACATACTTGGGTTTTTATATATTTTTTTTAATAAATTTTGTATGATTTATTTTAAACTTTAAATTTAATAGTAGTATTAATCTAGACAGCGATTTTTTTTTATCTTGACAGCTAACCTTAATAATAACCAGCATACAAACAAAGTTAGCACAAAAATATAGTTGGCCTTTTACTTCTTTGATTGGTTGCTTTTTTGCTTAAATAATTGGCATCCAACATAATTCCTACTTAAAACAAACTTTTCGAGTGTTTTTCTTCTTAAATTTCATTATTATAATGAAGTTTTAGATGAAGTTCTAGCTTTGTTAGCATCATATTAGCGTGAAGCACGTACCCCGAGCCACCATAACAAATATAATATTTTGTACCTCCAAAAAGTACAAAAATAGAGAATGAGATTGTAAATATTTTTCGTTGAAATCTGGCATGTACGTAGGAAATAGATGTAAAAAATTAAATAAACATTTTAGAAAAATAAATCAGTATGCCTTCAAACACTTCTACTACAAGAACGAAGTTTTTAATTCGTTTGTAACTGTTAGCAAAAAAAGCATATTACCAACTTTAAACCTTCTACTTTTGAAATAAAGTCTAGGTTAATATAAGATTCTAAAAAATAAGATGTCAAAACACATCCTTACGATACCTACGCCAAGCACCTATGAAAAAAACACATCCTTACGATACCTACGCCAACCACCTATGAAAAAAATGTCGCAGATTTTTACTTTTAATTGGTAAAAGATATGACAATAATTTTTCAAGATTATTTTCAAATAACTATATACGAAAAAGTATGATTCAGTTAGCGAATTATAGTTTTTTTTAAATTTATGCACTTTATAGAGCCTTTAGCTTCACAAGTTTCAAATATTAATTCGAAGATAACTCATCTGAACAAATACAATCACCCAGGGGTTCTAGATAATCAGTAAACAAAGATTTGGTCTTGGGGATTTTTCTCGACAGTGTTTGTCCTATATAAGTGAAATATTTGTTAAATTCTTAAGTTTTTGGTTCATACAAACTTTTGTTATCGATTCTAACTATTTGTGGCAGGAAACCGGAGCACGATTTTTTTTTTGCCAATAACTTGCAACGTACGCTTTGACTAATAATTTTTCTTCAGGTTTTTGCGAATTTTTTTAAATAGGTTTTTGTAGATCTTATAATTTTTTTCGCATGAAGCTGATTTTGTTTTTAAAAAATTAATAAATAACTTTTGTTTTATTCTGGATGATTTTTTAAAACCTTTATTAATCCAGGGTGTATTGATAAACTTAATTGTTATTGTTTTTTGATTGATAAATTAATTCATAAACAGAAATTCAACCCAGTGGTCACGGACGTAAAAAAGACGTCTTTTAAACGTCTTTTAAACGTTCAAAAGACGTCTTTTTTTGGTCCGGTGCCCACTGGGAATGTGTATAAACTAATTTTGATTTAATGTATACATTAATTCAACGTTAATCCATATAAAATGGAACAACGTTGGATTTTAGACAGTGAATAAACGTTGCGTTTGCATCGAGAAAAGGCAGATACACAAATAAACATGTGTATAATTTATGAGAATTATCTTTCTTTTTTCTGATTTTTATTGGTGTCGTTTAAATTTTTGTTATGGGTATAAAAATTATCGTAAAATTATTCTCTAAAATATTTGAAAAGCAAAAAAGTGGCATCTTAAACGAAACTAGAAAAAATATTTGCTTAAATAACAGTTGCAAAAATAAAAATTATTACTGAAAGAATAGATAACTCAAACAAGAGAGTTTGAACTAACGAATAAATCCGTCACTTTGTCGGTAACAGAATGCAGTGGACACAGACGTAAAAAAGACGTCTATTAAACGTCTTATACACGTTTTAGACGTCTTTTGAACGTCTTTTGAACGTTTTGGACATACTTTGAACGTTCAAAAGACGTCTTTTTTTTGTCCGTTGCCCACTGGAAAAGAAATAAAGAAAAGGAATGAACAAGAAGATAAAAGGTAATTGTGAGGTCTCAAAATTAAAAAGTTAGCTTAAGGAAATAAAAGACCGCTCCAGAAGAAATAATTTGTGAGTTGACGCATTAAAAGAAAGTGAAAACGAAAATTAGATTAAGACTGAATTATAAGTGCAAAAACTGTTCAAAACTCACACTTGGATTAAAAAAAAAAAAAGGGCTCATAGGACTGGGATTAGTGACTGAAAAAAGGTTAGGAAAATTGTTAATAAACTTCTAAACTAGAAGTTTATTAACAATCTTCCTAACCTTTTCTAAAAATAAAGCTGCTATTTTAAAAAACGCAAAAAAGTTAAAAGGAAGAAATGTTTACATTACTGAAGATTTCTACGCTGAAACTAATGAGAAAAGATCTAAAAGAGTGAAAAAAAAGGAACGAGAGCTTGACAAACTCGCGATAATATCTTTCGATAAATTAATCGTTCGTAAGTGGATCCCAAAGGAAAAGTAAATAACCTTTGTTATTTACAATTGTGATCTTAAATTTATATTTTTAAAATGGAAACTTATCTATCATTTAGAAATAAATTTGGAAATGATGCTTTTAACAATATTGACATTATTCTTGAACCTTTTCTAATAAACAATTATATACTGTTAAAACATCAATCAGATATAGATATTAAATTTTATAATGATGAGGATAGAATGATAAAATAAGCCCCTATTACTATATTTCAGATATTTCAAGTTTTACTCCCTACATAGATTTGTAAGTAATATTGTTGTCATAGATACAAAGATTTGACTTCATTATTTAATGTTAAGAGCATCCAAAAAAATTTTGAGAAATTTAAACAATTTTTGCTAAGCGTTAAAATTAACTTTCAAGCTATGTATGACCGAAACATGATGCCCTGATAAGGAATCATCCATAAATAATAGAACGCAAAATATATTTAAAAAACAGAAGTAGAAGACATTAAGCTTTTTTACGCGGCGGTTTTCATTAAACTTAATGGGCTACTTTGATTTTTTTTTATCAAGACTCCGCTAGAGAAAACTTTTGATCTTTTTTGTTTTGTTTATGGTGAAAGTTTGCGTTACGTAATTTATGGACGATCCCTAAGAAAATTGAAAACAGTTTTAATTTTTAACTTGATAATTATAAAGTTTAGTATTGTGGTTTATCCTACTCCGGCTAATTGTCACATACCATAACAAGTTTAGCAAACTAAAGAGCATCATGACCCGCTCCGAAAGTCCAAGAGTAAGTGAATTTAAGAAAAACAAAAATTATTAGAGTGAAAGATAGAAGAAGTCGAGTTAGAAAGGAAACACAAAGATAGTGGACAGATATTGCACTGGATGTTAAAAAGTGCAACTATACATTATTCGGTTATAACTAATAATTGTATTTGATTACTTTAAATCGGTTATAACAAATAAATGTATTTGATTATAAGGTTTTCATCAAGTTAGAGACTCTGAAAAAAAAAGGTGGAGGATTGTGCATTTTTATCCACAACTCTTTAGATTTCAATTTACATAAAGAATTTTTTGCATGATTTTGAATTATTATCAATTGAGAACTTGCAAAAACGCAGTTGTACACGTCATATAGAGATCGAATTCTGGTAATAATTTAAAAAATTAAAAACAAGTTAAAAGCTGAATAAATTATGTGGCAAATACATTTACTTTGTAAGCGTACCGTTTTGGTGACGTTAAGTTGTTTATTTGTCCGAATATTAATCCCGCAACCACGTTTTTAAGAAATTCTATTGTTTCTGTGCCATGTTTGTCCGAATATCAATCCCACAATGCCTTACGCAACTTGAAAAAAATCTATTTTTAGAACAAAAACTTTCAACATGACAAAAATGAAGACGTCAGAACTTTTTTTAATGTTTTATTCCAACTATAAATAAACCTAATCGAATAACAAAAGATAGTGCCACTTTAATTGATCAAATTATAATTAATAATTTGAACATAAAAATTAAAACAGGAATATTTATAACAGACATATCTTCACAAAAATTGGTAAATCAACTTTCTGAAAAAGTAAAATCAAAAAAATGAGTAATTAAGGACGCTTCTCTTGTGAAATTTAATTGGCTTTTATTGACGACAAGCTGGGAATTTGTTTTGAAAATTAAAAACTTTAATAAAGCTTAAAATAAATTTTTTCATATATTTCACCATAAACATTCCCAATAACAACAAAATTTATTAAAAAAAAACTCTACAAAATCACTGGATTACACCGGGAATCATAAAATCTTTAATGGTTGTATGAAAAATTAATAAAAAAAAGGACATATTTATAGAAAAAAAGAAAATATTGCAAAAAGGAATTTTTATAGTTAAAATAAAGTTTCAAAGTTTTTCTTAGCAACGGGTTTTTTTTTTTCTGAGAAACTCTGCGAGCTAACAACTTCGGTCACTAAGGTGTATTGTCCGATAAAAGTTTTAACACTATTTAATAAACAAAAAACTTTATAAAACAACAAATATTATTTGCTGTTTTGTAAAGTTTTATAAAAAAGTTTTATAAAACACGCAATAAGTTCTCCAAGCATCTAACTAGTTTCATTAAATCAAATAAGCTCTCTTTTATCGATATAATCAGTGGCGCTGGTCCAACATACACCTATCAGCATAAAACTCTCTTTAACTCATCTTATATAGATCAAATCGCACCTCTAAAAGCTGCGATTTGATCTATATAAGATGCGATTTGATCTATATAAGATGCGATTTGATCTATAAAATCCTTGTCTTTTTTAAATACCAAAGTTGTT